TCATATATCATATTCTGTCACTCATATCTCAAGAATAATTCTTTCGTTTGATTGGTTCTATGAATATTGCATGCCAAAAACTGCTTTAATTTAATGATAAAACATAGAAAATTAAACTGTTGATATTGTGAAATATCACATTGAGTTCAAAGATCACTAAAACAACTGTTATAATGCAAATACAAACTAATCAAAATAACGCAATAATTATAAACATGAGTAACTGAAAAAGATCTTTATGACATCAACTGATGTGAAGTGAAATAAGTAGACTGACCAACGAGGTCAACTATGACTTCGTCACATTCCTCCCGCCTTAAGCACTTGTTTGTCCTCAAACAAAAAGGAGTACAACATGATCAAAATAGTCAATTGTTTAACATAAAAGCAGAGTAACATAGGGTCATATGATCCATTATAATTGTTACGTAACAATATTTATCCCATACTTGGACGTGTTACAGTGCATAAAGCAGGTTTGTAAAAACTTGTATTTTCATCAGCAGGCAGATATAGCTTAACTGAAACTTATCTGAAAGAACAGGCCTAGGAAAATCCGGCCACGGCCAAAAAAACAAAACTGGACATGAATATTCTAAAATATATCCACCGTTGGTTGGAAAATATTCTGAACTGTGGCCAATTGAACAATTTGAACCAGATGACCAAGATTGGTATGGGATAAACATATTATCCTATAGTCGGTTCAGGATATTGGGATTATTCCTCGGCCAATATAATATATCTACCCTTGAGACCTACGGCCCTACAGAGATATATTATATTAGCCTTGGGATAATCCCAATATCCTGAACCTCATATAGGATAATCGCTATATATCTATACTAAATGATACAAAGATATACAGTGCTCTTAACGAATAGAGTCAATTTTCAAATACGACTTTTTCATTGTACGAGAGGTGATCAATAAGTAATGGACGCTTTTTTACACAGATGATTTTTATAGACCAATCCCTTCGATTTTCTTACCAGTGATACATCATTCAATTATCTATCAACTCTGAAGATTTGAAGACAAAATATGTAATATATGTTGATATATCCTTATTTCCGTGAAGGGGGTACAGGTACAGTACCTTAGCAAGTGGAAGCCCTCGGGGTGGTTGTTTTATCGGCTTAGAAGTTCCTGTATTGATTTGATGATTTACCACATTTGTTTGGCCTATATCGGACTTTGTACTAGTAAAGATAGATGTAAACTTGTTTAATATAGTTTTAACTGCATGCATTTGTTCCTCATTCAGATTGTCTTTGCAAGTATCTAAGATTATATGCATGTTTTCAGTGAGACTATTCTTTACTTCTCCAGCTACATCAGTTTTCAATATATTTATCAGATTTACAGTTTCTACTTTTGCAATTATCATTGTACCTTGCAGTTTAATATTATCCTCTCTAAGATTAATTAGCCTCACAGGAACAATGCCATTCTTTGGGGTTACAATAGCATTCGCGGCGATTATTCCATATTTCTTGATGAGGTTCACACAGGTTTTGATCACCGGTGTCTTATTTCTATGTCAATTATTGGACACTTTGCCAGACACAATAATCTCACTATTGGGTGGTAGTATAACAGTGTACAGCAAATATACCAATACGCGATAACGTTTAGTTTAGTTCAGTTTCGTTACCTCCCGTTTGAAGAGCTCTCATGTATGGTACAACTTCGTCTACATCCGGGATCTTTCCCATTGGATTACACATGGGTGCTATTTTCAATGTCGCACTGCGACTCTATTAAATATTTATGTAGAGTTGCATTTGCACAAATGATAGGTATGTATGTAATTAAGATATATAACACGGCTTTTTGAACTGTAATCCCCAAATCCGAAGAAATCTGTATTTGAAAATGCCATCTTCCAGTGACGTCACTGATTTCCCAGAAATTGCTCAGACTTTATCGAAGATCGAAAAAATATAAATAATGTTACTTTGAATCTCCGATTATCTTTCTGATTATTCAATAGATTGGATTATATAACTATGCTTGAGGGTTGATGGAAGATCAGAAGCTGAGAAACGTTCAGAGTATTCGACTTGTTCGGCGGGCCAATGAAAATGTGTCCCTTCGGAAGCGATGCATCATGGGAGATATTTATGTAAATTACCACCTGAACTCTTATCGCGAATAGGAGTATTGGCGTATTGGTGATTTCTATTTGAATATTAAGGAATACAGTTTGTGGATATTCCATTAATGGTGAGAGATCCCTTTCCCACACCGAAAACACAGTTCAATTGGTTGAGAAAATCACATCCCAGAATGATATCCTCGGTGCCAATGTCAGATATCAAAAATTTCACTCTAGTTTCTAAAACACCCGGGATATAAACTGGTATCGCTGACTGTCCAATCAGTACGGTTATATCTCCATTTGCTATTTGTAAAGATACGATTGATAGATTTAGAAATTTAGAAATTGTGATGATCTTCTGCCCACGGAGCTTGAATGTTTACCGAAGGTTTGAGAATTTGGCAGGTTTTGGAGAGATAGGAATGTCTAGACAAAACCTCCGAGCCTCGTCTCGTGAACTCTGAATGTATAATCTAATTATCCATTTAATTCATTATCTAATTTATGTCCAAAAGACCAAAACACATATTTATAAGTAAATTTTCACCCAATTATTCGTAAAATGTGATGTTGATAATAAAGCAAAGCATGTACAGCAGTATTGATGTTTTGGTCAGTTGTACTCAGGTCTTTAAATTTAATTGGTTTTTACTTTGTTTACCCCAAATTTGCAGTCTTCCATATAATGCCAAAAACTATAGAAACTTATAAACATCCTAACTAAACATTACAAAATTGCACATCAGTTGACTTCATATATCAGATTCTGTCACTCATATCTGAAGAATAATTCTTTCATTTGATTGGTTCTAGAAATATCGCATGCCTAAAAACTGCTTTAATATATATGATAAAACATAGGAAATTAACTGTTGATATTGTGAAATATCACACTGAGTTCATAGATCACTTAAACAACTGTTATAAAACAAATATAAACTAATCAAAATAACGCTATGATTATAAACATAAGTAACTGAAAACAATCATTATGACATCAACTGATGTGAAGTGAAATAAGTAGACTGACAAACGAGGTCAACTATGATTTCGTCACACTTGCTATTTAACCCATACTCATTGGTAAATCAGCACTCCTTGTTAATTCTAATTTTATGCAAAGAAAGGGTACACGATTTTTAGTACATCACACCTGATGCTAGTTGTGAACAAGAGATCTAAATGACCAATTTAACTTTTATTTCATATACTAGTACTGCATATACAATGTGTCTAAAAAACGCAACAAACAGAAACATTGTAATACCACAAATCCAGTGATAATTACATCAATTTTAATTAATTCACAATAAAGCCACATGTCTCCTCTTTCCAATGATATGTAATTTGTTCATATATGATCATGGACCACTGACTTATCATTGTTTTTTCGTGCATGGGTGAAAATGTCATTGTGCCAAAGGTCCATGTGCAGTATGGCAAGTGATTTTAGACAGTCATGTCTTTCACCATGAGTACTTTCTGGCCATAAAACAATGTTTTTTTTATTAAAACAATATGTTTTCTTTCAAGTACAGTCCCCATGATATTAAAATATCAATCCAACTTTCTGAAAAATTATGGATTAGGGCCCCACCCAGGCACTTTTTAAAAAAATGTTAGGCTTATATTCTAAAAAGAGGATCCTGCTTTTCTCAATTTAAACATATCAAAAGTTTCTTCTACCCATATGAACAATTTCTGAATAGGGGATGCGCATTGAAATGCGTTAAAGTGAAAATCCACATATCCCATGTTATTTTCCCATAAGGAAAACTCGTGCTATCCATTGTTTTCAGCATCATTTTGGTCATCGAAAATTGATATCTTCAAAACTAGACTTTCAATACAATTATATTTTTGAAGATGTTTTAGACCCCTTATTGAATAATCTTTTCATGCAATAAAAATCAGAAAAGACTTTCAATACAATTATATTATATTAATTATAATTATATTATATTGGGGTCCCTACTCATAATTTTTCGAATTGTTCGATTGGTATTTTTTATCATCATGGGTACTTCACTTGAAAGAAAACACATTGTTTTAATAAAAAACACTGTATTTATGCCCAGAAAGTACTCATGGTGAAAGATATGACCGTCTAAAATCACTCGCAATACTGCACGTGGTCTTTTGAAAATCCTAATTCAACTGATTCTTATTATGCAATTAGGTTATATATTATGATGTAATTGGGTTTTGGGATTAACTTTAGATGACAAGACATACAAGACATACTTAGATCTTAGATTTACTTAGAAAAAATTATTTCTTGATGTGTTTATCGGTATCCATTGTAGTTTAGTTACAGCACATCGCACATATGGAAAAAGGAAGTGGCATTATTAAAACAGTTAAGTCAGTTAAAGTTACTGTCCTTCTTTGTTATCTTATGAATGATTACTGATCCAAACTACATTCCATGCTCATCATTTCTCTGCAATTAGATATTGGCTCATCTTTTTGAATCATTTGTGGGTGCTGGCAAAGAGGAACAACCTCATTGGTTATTCTCTGCCGTGTACAATGTCTAAAACTTGGTACATAGCAGATTTTTGAACCATTGACCAAAAGGAGTGATTATTCGGTGTTCCGTGGTCACATATGAATAAATGATATATCTTTGGAAAGAAGAGACATATGACTTCATGATCAACTTAATGGAATTGATGTAGGTATCATTGGATTTGTGATTTCCCAATAATTTAGTTTGTTGCGTTTTTGAGACACATTAATTATATACAGCATATGATTGGTGTTTTTAAAATTGATGTTATCGCCTCCATTGATTATACTATAATTTGATATTCACCGGAAGTCACGTGACTTCCGTTGAATAGCGCTAGTTATTTTTTAGTCACGTGTAGGACATGGACCAATAAGAGAGTGAGGAATATGACAGTGATATAATAAATATATATATCAGAGCATATTGCGAGTGAAATAACGAGATGTTACGAGTATTAAGCAAGCAGAGTTTCAGAAAATATTTTTTTGCGACTCTACCATTTTTGCGTACATTTTGTTTTTCTTAGTTTGCTTATATATGCCATATATCTCCTGTACAAGAGGTACAATGATAATAAAGGCCGCGGCGATAAAAGCCCAAGCTTGTGAAAACACTGTCCAGTAGTAAAATTGGTCTTCCTTAAGAACTTTCAGAGCCGCCATTACTGCTGGCCATACTATGATAAGCCCAACACTCATGAGTATTCCGAAAATGATAGCTGTATGGCGAGCCTTCTTGAACATTCTCTCCATGTCTAACTGTGTAGGTCGCTTGTTGCTGTATCTTGTTCCAAAATCAGTCTCGTATTTCTTCGCCCATGGATATAGTGGATTTCCGATGTTTCTTGTCTTTTCCCATTCGTCATGTTTCTTATGATTCTTCCTATCTATGGTGCATAATGACACGAAGACACAGACAATACCACCGACACCAATGGAAACGCAGTTCCCAACTAACATAGCGACCTCTTCGTAGGTGTTTTTTAGGAAGTCATTGAGACCGCCTGGATAAGTCGAAGCCGTCGCTAGCCATGAAACAATCCCAACGATACAGCCGACGACTGCCCCTGAAAAAGAAGCTGATTTTAACATTTCGTCAGGTCTATATGATGTGCGTGCCCTGGGCCCGTAGTCAGCTTTTGCCAACCAAGATCGAGGGCGGGGGTCAGCTTTTAAAAAAATCCAGAGACGTTCAAATTTGACGATTTTGGCACAAATCACTTGAAATGTGCTCAAAAAGGTAAAAAAAACTGCACGATTTTAGAAAAATTGGCCAATGGGGGCACTCGAAGCATGGTTGACCAATGAAATGATTCAGAGGTACGCGTATGATAGCTAGTTCATTCTAATCTATTCTTGCAGACGAGCTTTGATAAATTCTTTAATCGAACATTTCATGATTGAATGTTAATTCGCCTTCATTCAATTTTTAATGTGATGGTTGAATGTTTCACAACTTTACTGAATGTATCGTTTCATAATTGAATGTTTAAATGTCTTCGTGTACAATAAAACTTGCCTCAACCAGACACCTCTGGTACAAGCCAGGGGTGTTCATATAAGCAGGTGTGCACATTTCAAGGTTTTGTAAATATGTAAGTCAATACATTCTGATTTGTCAGAGTCCCTTATCTGACCCTTTGGCGAGCCAGTATTCCGAATCCGAAGAATAGCAGGGCCGTAGCCGGGGGGGGGGGGGGGTTATTGAACCCTGGCCAAAAGTCTTTCAAAATCATGCAGTTTGTCACCGTTCAGAGCACTTTTTAAGTGATTTTGGCCAGTTTTGGATCAAAATTGTCACAAGTGAACCCGCCTGGAATTTTCAACAAGAACACAAATGTGTACAATATGTCCCCACCTATGGGTGATCCTGTCAAATGGTTATCCTAAAAATGAGTAGACAAGACTTTACCGACACAATTTGAGGACGGAGAATCCAAAATGGCCACCTTAAAATTTACCAAGAATGCCCAAAAATTAGTCAGTTCTAGATTTTCATACTAAGAACCACCCCTGAAAATTTGAAATTGATCCGTCACACAGTTAACCAGAAAACATGTAAACAAGACTTTACAAACACGATTTGAGGACAGAAAATCCAAAATGGCTGCCTTGACATTTACCCAGAATGCCCAAAAACTAATCAGTTCTAGATTTTCATACTAAGAATCATCCCTGAAAATTTGAAATTGATCTACCAAACGGTTCACCTAAAAACGTGTAGACAAGACTTTACGGGCAAGATTTTAAGACGGAAAATCCAAAATGGCTGCCTTGACATTTATCCAGAATGCCGTAAAAATAATCAGATCTAGATTTTCATACTGAGAATCATCCCTGAAAATTTCAAATTGATCTACCAAACAGTTCACCTGAAAATGCGTAGACAAGACTTTACAGACAAGATTTTAGGACGGAAAATCCAAAATGGCTGCCTTGACATTTACCCAGAATGCCCAAAAACTAATCAGATCTAGATTCTCATACTAAGAATCATCCCTGAAAATTTGAAATTGATCTACCAAACGGTTCGCCTGAAAATGCGTAGACAAGACTTTACAGACAAGATTTTAAGACGGAAAAATCCAAAATGGCCGACAATAAAAAAGTGATTATGAGTTTTTGCTGAAATCTTTTTACAAAATTATCACATATAACTACTGTTAACAATAACATAAGCTTTTACAACAAAGTACACCTGAAATTATTTATAAAGCTACTAAAAAGTTAAAGTATGAAAACTGAAAAACACCATTCAATATGATACAAAGTATTATCGTGCGCTAACTTTTCTTAAAACATTCAAAATGGCTGACATGACTGAGCTAACAGGTCCAAAACCTAATCAGATCTAGAATGAAGTGAGCTGAACAAGATGTTAAAGTTTTAAAAGCAACTGTGAAGCCATTTTTCTTAAAGTTTGCAGACAAGGATTTTAGCATTTGACTTCAAAATGGCCGACAGGAAGTAGGTATTGAGTTAATTTTTTTTCATCCACATCTGTATGCACTCATAAGTTATCCCTGAAAATTTGAAGGTGATATCTGTAGCGGTTTTGGAGAAAACTGCCGGACGTACGGACGGACAGACAGACGGACAGACAGACGGACGGACAGACGGACGCGCCTAGGCCGACAATATGGCCCCACACTATGTGGTGGGGACATAAAAAGTGAATCCCCCTTGGCAAATCCTGGCTACTCTTCCAAAACGCCCAGTTGGATCTATACACCTTATCTAAATACTGACTGGACTTCGGGGCGTTTTGGGAGACAACACGGCCTTTGGTCAATTTCGAACAGTTGCGTAGGACTTTTCAAAATGGCTACGTTTCATGTAATAAATATGTTGATGCAGCGATGGAGAGTTGTCATGGGAGTCCTTGCGCAGAATATGGGGGAGAGTGATAGAAGAACTGGCGAGATATCAAGAATTGTGGTTGAAATCTCCGAGGATTTGCAACTTCTCACATCTGGGGACCAAAACGCCGCTAAAACGAGGGACTTGTCTCGACTGAAAGGTATTTCTGTGAAGGTTTCAATGGAACAAGTTTGAGGAAAAACGGTGTAGTGTGAGACTCACAATCACTGATTTTCCAAAGACAGGGTAGATTTGAAATTCAAATTAACGGTTTTGCGGGGCGTTTTGGTTTCGATACGCCCCGTCGAGTTAGTACCGCGTGATATACGCTTACTGTAGCCGACGACCCCTTTTCATTTCTTTGCAGTTGATATTTATATAAGCAATGCAACAACGTTTGAATTATTTTTAATACATTGAAATGTTTCTCTCTCCTAATATTCATATTGAATCTTAAATAGTATGCTAAACATTATTGTACATGTACTATCAGAACAGGATTGCCTTGTTGTACTTCTGGAAACATTTGCTTGAGTTTTAATAATTTTGAGTTCATCAATACGTTTCATCGATCGGACGTGTACATTTATTTCCAACTAGATGACTTCAAAATAGGATTAATCAATTAAAATACGTAACATTGTGTTATTCAAGCAAATAATCATAACAACTACATTATTTTTTATCAGTTTTGACTCTTAAGCAGAATAGGCTCGTGGCGTAGACAGGCTATTTTAGTGGTCGAACGTAGTGGGATACGGAGGTCCCGCGTTCGAGCCCCAGGTACGGAGTTTTTGATCATTGCACTACAGGACACCCGGTCCGAAGGTCCAACCATTTACCGGCCCGTGGCATGGCTTGGTTCTCTGGCCGCTCTAGCCGGAGACAGATTGTGATTCTGTGGTTGGTTCCTCCACTGACGTGCTTTAGTAGACCCCGGGAGTCATACAGTATGGTAGCGAGCCCCGACCAAGGGCAGTAGTGGAACGACACGAATCGGTCCCAGTATGGTTGCTTTGCAACTGAAGAGACTCGAGGAAATCATGCCATTCGCAGTGACCCAGAAAAGACTTTTGCTTCTTGATTTAATGAACGTGTATTTTATTTCGTTATATTAATTAAAACCTGACCAAAAATATTTCAACCAGTGACACCTATCATTTAGCAATGTAGTTCCGACGTACAACTTATTTTCCCAGAAGAATGGACCGATTAGTATATGGTAAAGTTACACCCCAGTCACATTTGTCGTAAGGAGGCCGTGCGTCGACCGCAGATCAATTAAATTAGTAGGAAAACTTGCGGCCTCCGTACGGCGTATCCAGTTTTTTACAGGCCGCAGGGTCGCCGTAGAAATTATAACTCGGAGTTATAATATTTGTTCATTTCTGAGGTCCCCATAGAAATCAACTGGCTCAACAAGATTGAATCATTATTTGTCGATGTTTCACGATCACTTTTCATTTGATATTACATCGTAGCACTATGAATAACATTTTATAAATTGTCCCGATGTAAATAAAATGAAAAAAGGTATTATTAATCAACAGTTAAAATTCACCGTGCGGGTGCCGTGGGAAATGTGACTGCAAAAGTATCCCACCGCAGAAATTCCACGGCGAGCGTAGAAATGTTACTGGCCGCAGAAATGATAGACCGCAAGGTCTCCGTAGAAAGTGTGACTGGGGTGTAAAGGGCAAACACGCGAAGATGGAAATTCACAGGATTCTTATTCAGACGATATTACACGATACTGATTTTTATTGGACGAATGTTTGAGACATCTATTGTCGATCAAATATTTTAACGTTCCATTTTAAACTTTAGTAATAATTGCACTTGTCGAGACATCTATGAAAAGATATTCGAAACATTCAAAACCGTTGCTTTTAAGGTTTTATATCACACTCTATGTATACTGGAGAAATGTGCATAAATGTTTTTCAAATGCAGCCGAAAACTTGAGATCACTCATTCATTTTTACTCTATATTCTTGCGAATAGATGGTTCACCCCTGAGGCCCGGGTATACTGTCATTAATAAAAAATCAGTCTTATTCTTATCCATTAAGCTTATAAAAATCATTCTTATTCTTATACATGTAAGTAATCTAGTAAAAGATTAATATACATGTATACACCACGCATTAACAACTCAGTACACTAGCGGACTTTTTAAACATGTTTAACGTATTCCTGGGCCTCAGGTTCACCCAGTCAGAACACAACGCGCTGAGTTTTAATCGCAGTCAGTTAAGGTGGCCTAAAGAGCTGCTTATTTTTTCTACCTGCTTAATCACTGGTGATCCACTCCATTACGCTGGTTACCGAAACGGTTCGTTTTGGTAACAAAATGTCGGAACGTCGAAGGCACGATTTTTCATTTTTCCTTATTTCACACGTTGTGGGCTCAATTCCAACGACATTTTTATCACAACCGTATATCAGTATCATATGATTAAGAAAATGTACACATTTGCGAACAAATACTTCAGAAGACAACGGAATCGTCGATTTAATCCCTCACTTAAGTTACCCCCCTATCACACCAAACTCGTTCTTACCCGTTCTTGCCAGTCCTACGAAAACGTCGTAAAACGGGCTCAAACTGGCTGTGGTCGGGAAATATGTCTGAAATAATTAGCTTCTTCGTTCTTAAACAGTCTTCAATACGTCCATCTCGTTCGCAGTTCGTTCAGGTCGCACCACGTCGGTGTGCAACGCCGTAGAACGCGTCCCTTAGTCTAGAAGGTCATCATGACCTGATAACAGAACGGTATGGTCGCAATCGAATTTTGAATCGATTCAAAATTCTAAAATCACATTCCCGTCTGAGAACGTTCATAAAGTTCGTAAATAGACCTTAGAAAGTTGCAGCTACGTTCATTCCGTTCGCACACAGTTTAGAACCAGTTTTGAAGAACGCAGTGGCAACTTGTTTGGTGTGATAGCTATATTTTTGCTAACTCGTTCATAAGCAGTCATAAATACGTTCTTAATCAGTTTAAACCCGTTTGCAATGAGTTCTACCTCGTTCTCAACACGTCCTCAGACAGTTCCACTCGTTGTTAAAACGTCCCTAGTAGGATTGAAGTACGACGGTTCCGTTCGTAGTACGTCCAGCTCGTCATTAGTACGTTGTCACTCGTTCTAATTGTAGAACGTGACGACCACGAAAACATTTTGAGCATTGTCTAAGTTCTAGAGGACCTACCCGTTCGAGTACGTTTGATGAAGTTTGTAAATAGATCCCAAACGGTTCTTAGTAGGTCCAGTCCGTTCGTACACAGTTGAAGCCCGTTTTCGAGAACGTAGTGAGAACTAGTTTGGTGTGATAGTAGGGTTACCGAAACGGTATTTCGAAAAACAGTTAAGATCTGTACTTTTAACCCTTACCGTTTATGTAACTTAAGCGAGGAATTAAATCGACGATTCTGTTGTCTTCTGAGCTATTTTTCGCAAATTAAACATGTACCTTTTATAAAACATATGATACTGATACACGTTTGTTAGAAAAAATGTCGTGGGGACTCAAGAACACATAGATTGGACATCAGGCAGAAAAATCGTAACTTTACTTAGTGGCTTCACGAAAAAATAAAGGACGCGGGTGCAACTCCCTGGTGAAACGTTGTTGGACGAATCGGAACGAGAGGCAACTAGTTCAGAATATGTTGTACGCAAGGGTTCATGCATGGGAAATTTCCCCTGAGCTTAAAAATGATCTACAGCGGGGAAGGTCAAATGGACGTGTTGACGATTTTGGATGAGCTATCTAATTTTATACTCCCTCTTCACTAGACAAGTTCTTACAAGATTCGATTCTTGTATTTTTGCAAACAGGCGTACCGATATCTCAATAGTATTTGTCATATATCATTTTAAAGCTTATCCCAAATTGTGAAAATAAGAATATCTAAGCACAAGTGCCAAAGGAAAAGGACCAAAAGTTGTAATGGAACTTAGCAAGAAAAAGCAAACTCTAAGTGCATACCAGTCAAGAAACAAAAAAAAACATATATCCCAAAACCATGATCTAACGTGAAAAGAAACAATGTCTAATACCCCCTTTCCCCCACCATTCAAGAACCGATATCACAATCCAAGACCAGAACACCAAGGGACGTTTCATTCATACTGAAGTCATTACAATACATTATGAAGAAAAAAATAGAAATTGATAGCCAATACTCATAACATCAAAAAAAGTTGTAGATACAAGTACTCATACAAGATAGAGCATTCAGTCTGAAATGATGTGGGATAGATAAAATCCAGTCTCCAAGTCCATAGGTATTTCAAAGGGTCAACATCCATTCACAAAAGCCGTCGCCATAATCCATAAAACACAATAATTCACAATGGTCATCAGGAGAAAACTATGGCTGGTTTCGATCCCTATTTCTCAGCCATTAATGCCATAGCCGGGATCCATCTCAAAAGGTGCCAAGTGAAAATATTGTGAGTTCAGCGCCAATGTCTTAAACAATTCTTACATCCTTCAGCATCTCAAGTGGTAAAACTTGAAACTTCGAAAATAATGATTTGTATTTTTCAGCAAAGCCCAGAAAATATTTCTTAAGCTTTATACAAGCATAACCTTGACCTAACCCCCCTATAACACCAAACTAGTTCTTCCCCGTTCTTGCCAGTCCTACGAAAAAGTCGTAAAACGGGCTCAATCTGGCTGTGGTCGGGAAATATGTCTAAAATAATTAGCTACTTCGTTCATAAACAGTCTTCAATACGTCCATCACATTCGCAGTTCGTTCAGGTCGCACCAGGTCGGTGTGCAACGTCGTATAACGCGTCCCTTAGTCCAGAAGGTCATCATGACCTGATTACAGAACGGTATGGTCGCCATCGAATTTTGAATCGATTCAAAATTCTAAATTCACCTTCCCGTCTGAGAACGTTCATGAAGTTCGTAAATAGACCTTAGAAAGTTGCAGCTACGTTCATTCCGTTTGCACACAGTTTAAAACCATTTTTGAACAACGCAGTGGCAACTTGTTTGGTGTGATAGCTATATTTTTGCTAACTCGTTTATAAGCAGTCTTAAATACGTTCTTAATCAGTTTAAACCCGTTTGCAATTAGTTCTACCTCCTTCTCAAAACGTCCTCAGACAGTTCAACTCGTTGTTAAAACGTCCCTAGTAGGATTGAAGTACGACGGTTCCGTTCGTAGTACGTCCAGCTCGTCGTTAGTACGTTGTCACTCGTTCTATTTGTAGAATGTATCGACCACGAGAACATTTTGAGCATGTTCTAAGTTCTAGGGGACCTACCCGTCCGAGTACGTTCGATGGAGTTTGTAAATAGACCCCAAACGGTTCTAGGTACGTCCAGTCCGTTCGTACACAGTTGAAGCCCGTTTTCGAGAACGTAGTGAAAACTAGTTTGGTGTGATAGTAGGGTAACAGATTGATCACAGTCACACAGTTTGAAGATGCAGGCATTTCACTATTTAGTGTTTGGCCAAAATTAAAGTTCAGTTTTACAACTTTATAGTGTTTTCCCCCTTTGTGAGTTGAAACAGGATACTTGGCAAATCAATGTAACTTTGGATAAGCTTTGAAATGAGATATGACACATACTACGTTGACATTGGTATATCTCTGGCTAGAGGGGGAGGGGCGTCCCATACTTTCGGGACGTCCTGTATATGCAAACGGGATGGGGATTTTAATGATATTTTTACTGATTTAAGTGACTAGTTCATACGGAATGGTGCTTTCGGTCTATTTCTAAATTTTCCGATGGCACCTTTTCACATTAAGACCTACCTCGACCGAGTTACATCTCAATTATAGCCAATTGTTATTGCGTTTAAATACTCTCAAAACGAAACGCATATATTCATGACATTGTATTACATTTCTCGACGTTAATACAGCCTCACAGTAGGTTTGTAATTAGTCGGTTTGTCAATCTTAGACTGTTCATGAACTAAAACTTTCAACCTATTCAGAACATTGAACTCATTCACAACCAGTTCAATGATTTACAAGGACACGATCAGATGCAGAACAACTACGTGCCAGACTACATGTGGTCGTAGCTTTAAGTTTAGTCATTTTGTAAAACAACCTACCTGAAATCATTCCTTGGGCTGTAACTCTGTCCCACAAAACACTTAAACTTATAGGAATGACGGAACTTCCTATAAGGACTCCCGTGAACAAGTACATCCAACCCAAGTTTAGCCCAGCAGCATTGGCGAACAACACCAACGGGATGGTAAACAGAGTAACCCAGAGTATACACCAATTTTTGTAGTTTTTCAAGTTATCCTGGTACTGTTGGAATAGGCCGTGTGTTTTACAAGTGTAAGGGTAGGGTACACCAAAGGGAGATTTCTTCTTACGCATGGCTCGACAATCAAGGCATTCCACACACTCGTCAATTGGCTTGCATCGACATACAGGATCTTCCCCCGGGGATGCATTTGCGGCTGCTTGCTCATCATGTATAATTCGTTCACCACAAAATACACAACTGCCATCAACGTGGTCTTTCCTAAAATATAAATTCTTTGTTACCCTACTATCACACCAAACTAGTTCTCACTACGTTCTCGAAAACGGGCTTCAACTGTGTACGAACGGACTGGACCTACTAAGAACCGTTAACCGTTTGGGATCTATTTACAAACTTCATCGAACGTACTCGAACGGGTAGGTCCTCTAGAACTAAGACAATGCTCAAAATGTTCTCGTAGTCGTCACGTTCTACAATTAGAACGAGTGACAACGTACTAACGACGAGCTGGACGTACTACGAACGAAACTGTCGTACTTCAATCCTACTAGGGACGTTTTAACAACGAGTTGAACTGTCTGAGGACGTGTTGAGAACGAGGTATAACTAATTGCAAACGTGTTTAAACTGATTAAGAACGTATTTAACACTGCTTATGAACGAGTTAGCAAAAATATAGCTATCACATCAAACAAGTTGCCACTGCGTTCTTCAAAACTGGTTTGAAACTGTGTGCGAACGGATCGAACGTAGCTGCAACTTTCTAAGGTCTATTTACGAACTTTATAACGTTCTCAGACGGGAAGGTGAATTTTGAATTTTGAATCGATTCAATTCGATGGCGACCATACCGTTCTGTAATCAGGTCATGTTCACCTTCTTGACTAAGGGACGCGTTCTACGACGTTGCACACCGACGTGGTGCGACCTGAACGAACTGCGAACGAGATGGACGTATTGAAGACTGTTTAAGAACGAAGAAGCTAATTATTTCAGACATATTTCCCGACCACAGCCAGATTGAGCCCGTTTTACGACTTTTTCGTTGGACTGGCAAGAACGGGTAAGAACTAGTTTGGTGTGATAGGGGGGTTACGGTTGTTAATCTACTACTGACTATGAATCATTTCATGTAGATGAGTCATAAAGATGATAGATTATAGGTTGAGGTTTTTACTCAGGTTTTGGCATGTTTGGGCAACTCGCTCTTTAAGAAGGCTGGTCACATGATATAAGCCCGAGGGTGGGGCCGCTAAAGTGGGTCACCTTTTCCCCGAAAAATCCCTAGATGTGTGTCCCGTTTCGAAGAAAAAACCTAGATATGGGTCCAATTTGAATGAAAAAATCCCTTAAACTGGGTCTCCTTTTTGTATTTTTTTAAATAATCGCCGGAAGTGTCGGTGTACTGCGTGAAAATATCAGCCAGATTGACAGATTCAAACATTTTAGAGCACTTTTGCAAGAACTTTATGAACGCCTTTATACTTACTTACGACACAATTCCTATCAGACATTGTTATTTTTATGCCACCACTAATACATACTTTTTTCATTGTTATAGTTCATAAATATCAAATTTAAAAAAAAACATACGACACAATGGGCATACAAACTAAAAGGATAGAACGACCTTGTTGAATAGAACGGTGGTCTGATGTTTGAGTTTATTGCCTGGTTGCGATCAACAATTGCAAATTGCCATTTTCGTTTAAAGCCCCGATAAATCGGGCTACGTATACCGCCGTGTTTACATTAGGGGATTAGAAGAGTTTATTTTTACTTTAGGTATGCAAGCAATATCAATATTAGGCCTTCCACCATGTACTCGTGTGTACAATCAGCATGCCCTTCAATATTATATAAGCCAGGCTATTCAAGTAGAACATAATGTACACTATTTATGTGTGTACAACATGGGAATACAATTCCCTGGGAAACAAAACACAAATACTTTTTATATGTTCAAAATGAGCAATTTGATTGATGCATACACTTAATACCTTCATATATAAACATCTACAAAGTATATCTAATAGTCATTTTCAATTCCAATGGTGAAACTTGCCTGGTTACGATTATACGGGAAATCAACACGGGAAGATAGTTGTACTCCTTCCTGGCTTACCTCTGAAGCCTGTACCCTGTAATCTCTTTATATAGGTTAGCGAGAGCGCTGCGCCTGCGCAGTTTTAAATTTTGGCGCACACTTTAATAGTAAACATAGTCTAGAATATTTTCAAAATAAAAGCTTCGAGACAGAGAGAGTTCTTATTACACTTTGGCATGCACCCTAGAGACCTGTATCAAAATAATTTAATGTACACTCTTCATTATAATATAACACAGAGAAAACTGATGTTTGGGCTAAAAGTAGGCTTTTATTTATTCATTTACTATGAAAACATTAAATATGAGCATTTAGCATAAATGAACACGGCCTGATTATAAAATAACATATAATACATACTGAACTTAAATAGCATATGATACATTAGAACGAATGAAATAAAAACACATACAAAGACACATATAAAAAACAATATCTCTTGTTTTCACTTATTTAAATGTATAATGTTATTTAAATATATATTAATTAATGATAACATTGGGTGGGAGGGGTTTTAAAAAGGGTGTTGAAATTTCCACGTGTTGTGGACTGTCTTACATACTGAACTGAATGTCTTAATAAAGTACACTGGTGAAACTGGGGTCAACCATGCATTCATATAAATTGAAAGGATGCCAATTACACTACCCGCAAAAGGATTAGAAAACCTGGAAACTATCCAGAAGATAAATGGACAAACAATTACGTGATAAATATATGGCATTCAGATTCATTAAAAACATTATTCCAAATGGGATAAATTTCACCTTTATATCTTACAAACGATTTGTGAAATTTGCCAAAGTGAACGAGGTGTCGAAAGGCACTAATTAGACGATTAATTAGTATAGCATTCCTCATTTCTTAACTAGTTCAATCAATACAACCAGTGTTGATCACCACATAAATGCCAAAACAGCTATGGTCAATGTGTCAATTGTTTCATGCTGGACATGGTGCCAGTGTTTTGAAAAATCCATAGATTACAGTACTCAATCTGCTTTGGTTGATTTTACTGAACTAGTAAACCAATAATCAGAATCACACTACAGCATTGTTGCATTGTCTGCTCCTCAGATTCTCTCATAAGGGAGCTACTGTATTTATAAGTCTTTTATCACATAAAAGTACATGCTTATTTGATATACCAAATGGTTATTTTACTATACTGTAAGTAACCCATAATCAAGTCATGTTGTATTATGTGTTAAATAAGGTAGTCTAGCTTCAAGCCTCTGTGACCCCTCCCCACTCTACTTGAGTAAACATATTCTCATACATAGCCTGAGCTAGACACACAACAGTGCAATTAAGAAGGGATATTTTGATGTACCAAGCTAAGAGGATACTTGGTCTTGATCTTGACTTTTTTGCTAAGACTGTGACCCTACTATCACACCAAACTAGTTCTCACTACGTTCTCGAAAACGGGCTTCAACTGTGTACGAACGGACTGGACCTACTTAGAACCGTTAGGGGTCTATCTACATACTTCATCGAACGTACTCGAACGGGTAGGTCCTCTAGAACTTAGAACATGCTCAAAATGTTCTCTTGGTCGTCACGTTCTACAATTAGAACGAGTGACAACCTACTAACGACGAGCTGGACGTACTACGAACGGAACCGTCGTACTTTAATCCCACTAGGGACGTTTTTACAACGAGTTGAACTGTCTGAGGACGTTTTGAGAACGAGGTAAAACTAATTGCAAACGGGTTAAAACTGATTTAGAACGTATTTATCAACGAGTAATCAAATATATAGCTATCACACCAAGCAAGTTGTTACTGCGTTCTTCAAAACTGGTGTTAAACTGTGTGCGAACGGAATGAACGTAGCTACAACGTTCTCCGGTCTGTGTACGAACGTCATGGACTTTCCCGGACGGGGAATGTGATTTAGAATTTTGAATCGATTCAAAATTCGATGGCGACCATACCGTTCTGTAATCAGGTCATGATGACCTTCTAGACTAAGGTACGCGTTAAACGACGTTGCACACCGACGTGGTGCGACCTGAACGAATTGCGAATGAGATGGGCGTATTGAAGACTGTTTATGAACGAAGTAGCTAATTATCTTATTTCCCGACCACAGCCAGATTGAGGCCATTTTACGACGTTTTCGTAGGACTGGCAAGAACGGTTGAGAACTAGTTTGGTGTGAAAGGGGGGGGGGGGGGTAACAAAGAGTTTTCGTAACATGCTTGGTATTTAAAATTGATGGTACCAATGAACTTACAGTCAATAAATAAATGAGAATAATTATGACATAGAAGATGAAGGTGAAAATCAGATTAAAATATATGTCAAATGTACTTGTATTAATCTTACAAATCTACATTCATACCAGACATATACTGCAAAATGGAATGCAAAGCTTATTGGTCAGTGCCAATGAGCCCAGTGTCTAGGATCAAATGTGCTGCTGGGTGCAAATATGATAACAGATCGATGCAGTTCAAATCTTTGCTAATTGTTAACATTAAATACTATTTGAATCAACAATTAACATTGTTAATGGTGATGCTTTCAGTGTTAGTGATAATTTGACTGAGAGAAGTATTTTAAAGATAATTGTGTATCTTAAAGATAATTGTGTAATTGTAGTATTTTAAAAATTGGTGCAACCTCCTTCAAAATTGAGCTAGAAACTTCAAAAAGCATTCTTAACCTCTCAGCTTTTTTTGGTTGTATTTTTGGGGTGGGGTTGAGATCGCACCGACCGCAATCCCCTTAACTCCTTGTTAATTCAAGTGCCTTTGAATTCGCAAGATACAAACCACAAGACAATACCTCAAACAGCTTCGAAAATCTTATCAAAATTGATAACAAATAGTTGTTCTCACTTCTTTTAAAATCAATCGGACTATATTTGTTAAAATTTAATTTCAAAAAATAAATTTCAATTTTTGAATTTCTCTTGTAAAAACGCATTTCACCTTAAACACATTTTGACGCCTATTTCATCTTGGTAAATCTCAGTATCAATAAAGGAACCCTTGATTAAACATTGTCTATTTCGACTTTTTGAGTCAACTAGACTATATTTCATATAATGATTTTTCTAAGAATTTTCTTTTTAACATAAAATATTTTTGTGAAAAAACACATTTTTTACCCAAAAATTTACTTCGACACCTTTTTCATCTTGGCAAATTTCAGTATCAACAAAGGGACCATTTACCCTTCAATTATATACCATGATTAAGCTGCTCGTCAAAATATGTTAATGGTGTCATCATGTTTTGAACACACTCGTTTTAGTCGAAATTGCATGCAAATCACAAAGAAAAAGTTACTAAGCTCCCCAAATCACCCCAATTGATTAAACATGGTATATTTTGACTTTTGAGAGTCAACTAGACTGTTTTTATATAATAAATCTTCAAAAGTATTTTTCTATCAATTTAATTTTTTTGCAATAAACGCATTTTCTACCCAAAAACTCCCTTTGACACCTATTTCATCTTGGCAAATCTCAGTATCAATAAAGGAACCCCCAAAGTACAAAAGAAAAAAAACTATTGAGGTCCCAAAACCCCCCAAAGTTGATTAAACAAGGTTTATTTCGTCAAAATGTAAGATTTCATTTTATTTTATACATACCTATATTCTAGTCTAACATATGAAATGCATAAACGCGTAATAATAAAATATGAGAAAACTGCTGTAATATAATTGAAACTTCTTCCTTTACATAGGGTTTTGTGCAAAACATGGCGACGTATATTTCTTGATATGTCGTATACCTGAATGGATTGACGTATGTTTGATGTTTGTCGTATACCTGAATGAAGTGACGTATATTTGATATATGTTGTATGTCGGGATGAAATGACATATGTTTGGTATAAAGTATACCCCATACCTAAATGGGTCGACGTATATTTCTTGATATGTCGTATACCTGTGTGGATTGATATATGTTTGATATTTGTCGTATACCTGAATGAAGTGAAGTATGTTTTATGTTTGTCATATACCTGGATGGAGTGACGTAATATATTTGATATTTGTCCTATACCTGAATGAAGTGACGTATATTTTATATTTGTTGTATACCTGAATGAAGTGACGTATGTTTGATATTTGTCGTATACCTGAATGAAGCGATGTATCTTTGATATGTGTTGTATACCTGAATGAAGTGACGTATGTTTGATATTTGTCGTATACCTGAATGAAGCAATGTATCTTTGATATTTGTTGTATACCTGAATGAAGTGACGTATGTCCGATATTTGTCGTATACCTAAATGAAGTGACGTATGTTAGATATTTGTCGTATACCTGAATGACGGGACAATGTGCAATCAATAAGAAAATGGTTTGAAAAAACAGTATAATAGAATCCAAGAATCCAAATCGATTTGTCTGATTTTATAAGGTTTTGTTCTAATGTGACTTTAGAAATAATGTTCAAGAATTTATATTTTGATGTTTTAATGGAGCCATATGGACAGAAAAAATTCAAAAAAATTCACAAGTCAAATGGAATTTGAAAGATATGCAATAATTGAAGTAGACATAAACACTTATTTGTCAATTGCACGAATGCAAAAATATGTAAATACTCAAAGTTTAACGTTTTCTGAACAAGAACTTTCATTTTATAACGTACAACGAAGGAGATTTTGAGAACAAATGCTATACATGTAGAAACCGACTAGTGTTTAAACACAAGTTTGAAATTTGGAAACTAAGAAATTTTAAAATCTATAACAAATAAGTTCTGTAAACCTGTTAGAATCATTGTATATTATGTAAAAATTGTGTAAATATTAAAAGTGAATAACTTTTATTCATAAACAATGAGTGACGTATATTTGATCTATGTCGAATGCCTGAATGGATCGACGCATATTTAATATTTGCCGTATACCTGAATGGAGCCATGTATATTTGATAAATCTCGTTTACCTGAATGGATTAACGTATGTCTGGTATATGTCGTATACGATGACAGAAGCAACGGCGATGACCTCCGCAGATCCTGTAGACATGACGGCCATTAAAATAAGTAGGAGCATCACATATTCTCCAGTTTTCCCCAACACCACTTGGGCGACAACTGGAGGAACTAATCCTAAAAATTGAAACATGTAGCTCTAGGTGTTACGCAGTAAACAGGATACAAATATATATCATATCATATTCCGCAACGATTATGGCATATTTACTTGTGGTGTATGATAGATACACCTGCGGCATATGGCATACTTAAAAGGGAGTTTAAGCTTGCATAAAAATAGAAACGCCATCCTATACGTATGACCAATCGCCCATACAAATGCATCGCTTACCCCCCTATCACACCAAAAAACTAGTTCTTATCCGTTCTTGCCAGTCCTATGAAAACTTCGTAAAACGGGCTAAATCTGGCTGTGGTCGGGAAATATGTCTAAAATAATTAGCTACTTCGTTCATAAACAGTCTTCAATACGTCCATCTCATTCGCAGTTCGTTCAGGTCGCACCACGTCGGTGTTCAACGAAAGCATAACGCGTCCCATAGCCTAGAAGGTCATCATGACCTGATTACAGAACGGTACGGTCGCCATCGGATTTTAAATCGATTCAAAATTCTAAATCACATTCCCCGTCTGGGAAAGTCCATGAAGTTCGTAAACAGACCGCAGAGCGTTGTAGCTACGTTCATTCCGTTCACACAGAGTTTAAAACCAGTTTTGAAGAACGCAGTGGCAACTTGCTTGGTGTGATAGCTATATTTTTGCTAACTCGTTGATAAATACGTTCTTAATCACTTTTAACCCGTTTGTAATTAGTTCTACCTCGTTCTCAATACGTCCTCAGATAGTTCAACTCGATGTAAAAACGTCGAACGAACGGAACCGTCGTACTTCAATCCTACTAGGGACGTTATCACAACGAGTTAAACTGTCAGAGGACGTAATGAGAACGAGGTAGAACTAATTGCAAACGGGTTTAAACTGATTAAGAACGTATTAAAGACTGCTTATGAACGAGTTAGCAAAAATATAGCTATCACACCAAACAAGTTGCCACTGCGTTCTTCAAAACTGATTTTAAACTGTGTGCGAACGGAATGAACGTAGCTGCAACTTTCTAAGGACTATTTACGAACTTCACGAACGTTCTCAGACGGGAAGGTGATTTTAGAATTTTGAAATGATTCAAAATTCGATGGCGACCATACCGGTCTGTAATCAGGTCATGATGACCTTCTAGACTAAAGGACGTGTAATACGACGTTGCATACCGACGTGGTGCGACCTGAACGAACTGCGAATGAGATGGACGTTTTGAAGACTGTTTATTAACGAAGTAGCTAATTATTTTAGACATATTTCCCGACCTCAGTTAGATTGAGCCCGTTTTACGACGTTTTCGGATCGTAGGACTGGCAAGAACGGGTAAGAACTAGTTTGGTGTGATAGGGGGGTTAAATATTTTCCGTTCATGTTAAAGTTGTGAACAACATTGCAAGTTTAACTCCTCTTAGCTTATTTATTAGCTAGATTGTGTTTGTTGTAAAACGTCCCTTCATTTGAAATATTGATTTCAATGCACATTTCATCTAGATTTTCAATGACAACTCGAACTTTTAGGTAGGCATCGTCAAAATAATACACTCCCTGCATAAATTTGGAAACTGGAAAAGAATTAGAGTATACTCACATACTGTATAAGTGGTACTTAATTCATGTAGTTAATATTCCGAATGGTCAAATTTTGTCATTTTCCTAATTTTAATTTTCCTAATGACTAGAAACTTCGCATTGGATAACATAATGAAGATAATTTTCCGACATTTAATTTACCGAACCTTTGTCGACATCGTCTGCAGACAGCAGTGATACTCCATTCCGTTCTCCCAAGGCGAGGTACGACAGTCCCATGGTTGTTGATAAGGTGAATGGGATGGCAAACCACGTGAGACCCCCTGCTATGAATCCCCAGACACCATGTACAGGTTTTGCGGCTACACTGCTTTGCCAGTAGCTCTGGTCGCAGAACACAGTGCCAAAATTACCGATAATGTTAATGACACCAAACATGAGTCCACCCGAAGAAAGGAACGTTAGGTAACTTTGTTCGCTGTTTCCCTCCGGTCCAACTGTAGCATTCAAATACTTGTATACACTTTCAGCGCTGCCTAATGGATTGGTCTCACGTTGTGTCGGGTTATAGAAGATTTCAACCACAAGGATGATTAACATAACGAATATCAAGCTTGTATTGAAATAGGAAACATAGAATGTAGCTCCCAATCCGCCAATAAGAGGGTAGGAGCCAATGACAGCTGCCAAGATGATGCAGGCGATTTCCAATGAGAGGTCTTGAACGAGACTGGTGATGACTGCAGTGCCTGCTAACAGCAAGGACATCGACACGACAATGTTGGTAAATCCAGCAAACACACAAAATACAATATGGGCTGGTTTACCAAATCTTGCTTGAATAACCTACAACAAAAAAACACACCGTGGATTTTATATTTGATGATATCGCCCACCATCATCTGGGATTCAAGTGGAATAGTTGTAAGACTTTATATTGTATTGTTTGAACGACAATGTAGAATGCATGAGCAAGAGAGAACCTTTTATAACTCATTCCTCAACGACTGTTGTATGACTGAAGTTTAGGTACAGTGTAAGTCAGAAATAATTAGTCATGGAATTGCTAAAGTGAGGATTTCTTATGTTAAAAATAAAAGAATCGTTTGGAAATGGTGATAGAAAATCGACTTCTCACCTATACATGACCCAAACTGGCGTAAAGATGTACCTGCAAAAATGTTTTCGCCCCTGGTGCCTTTGTCTTCAGTTGGATGGATAGAATGGCAAAGAGTATAATCTGAATGGTGGCACCCGCTCCGTACCAGAAAGGACCGCTAATGCCATACTAAAATTAAATCAATTGTTTCAATGTTAACTTAATTGCATATTATAACCATGTAGGGATAGCTAGGGGAAGATCCTGATACCAAGGAGGATTGGAAGCCGTTATTCAAGCTGGAATTTCACAGCCCTGGCCCTGAGTCCAAGACTCAAATGAATTCAGGTTTATATACCTTGCTAGCAACAGTTGATGATTGAAGTAGTGTTGCCGACCATGTCCATTGTGAAACAATCGTTGTCGCAGTCAGTCCAATCGACACCTTGCCCCCAGCATCAAATGTTGTATCCACGTTATCTGCGTCACGGTACACATATTTACGGACCAGATAAAAAGCCGCTGCTACTATTACAGAGAAAAGGCCAACACCAAATATCAGGAGTATTGCATAGTGCACCTCAATTGTTGATCTCACACCGCGATGTCTGAAGTATAAATAAGCAATATTTCATATGCATCATGACTTAACCATCCTAGTCTAATTACTTCAAGAACCTGGACCCCCCTGTCTACTACCGGATAAGGGAACGTCCATGGCCTTGAAGCAAAACTAAAACCATCAATGAGGGATTCTGAATGGACTATGTGTATCATATTACACACGTTCCAAACCTGTTAAAAATAGTTAAAAACCTGCCTGGAAGTAACACAGAGACGATGTATTTATAATCTAAAACCACCAAAATTAATAGATATGACTATATGTTGTATAAAACAGTGGCGTAGCCAGCAATTGGTGACCAGGGGTTCCATTTTTATGTTATCCACAAATCTCCCGCTTCATCGGTGTACCTCAAATAAAGCATTTTTTGTATTTTTCATACATACTATGTACACCCCTTCAAAAGTTTGGCAACAATTTGATTTTCTATATTGAAATAGTTTTTGGTGAATGTTTTACTGAATAGATATTGAAATCTGGTAGCAAAATCATACATTTTAATATAACACTTGTTTAATTTTTCAATGAAATCCAAATCAAGGGTTAGCATACAGAGGATTTAAAATCTGTTCCAGAACATGTTAAAAGGGATTTTATGGGACAAGATTACAAAGATGGAGGTCTGAAAATGATTGATATGTATGATACACAAGTCTCATTTATTCTGAAATGGATTAAACTGATAGTTTTACCATGTAATGGACATTGGGGATGTCTTCCAAAGTTTTCCTATAGCAAATATGCAACAGAACTTCGTGTATTTAAGTGCAATAGTACAATTAATAATTATACCGGTTTACCTCAATTTTACAAGAAAGTTTTACAAACTTGGCAAAATTATGACACTGACCAATCAATTATTTGGAATACTGAAAAGTTAAAAATAAGTGGAAATAAAATATGTTTCACAAATTGGATGGCAAAAAGTATGAATTTTGTAAGTGATATTGTAACCAATGATGGACCTATGGCATATGCTGAAATATCTAAGATTATTGGTAGGAATCCTTTGACACTGATACAATACACTAGTATTTCAAATTGTATCAATAGAAATGTAATATTACTTTATGGTTATGTAAAAGCAGGTGATGATTTCAACATATATTTAAATGGTAAAGAGATAACATTTTATGAAACATCAGATTTTAGAAAACTATGTACAGATAAAAGAAAATGAAAATTGATTTTACAGTATAATGGTAAGGATATTTCATGTGCAATTTGGCTTAGAGCATTCAAGTGCAAAGTAGATGCCAAACTCTTAATTACTCACTGGAAAACATTACACAACATATATCCATGTAATGAGATTTTCAATCGTTTTAGAATTAGAGATAGTTCATTTTGTGAGAATTGCAATGTAATTGACAATGTTAAAAATAGTTTTTATGAGTGTATAAAAATAAGGGATATATGGAAATTTTTTGATAATATCACTTTTGAACAAATTATAGGAATAAATAAGGAAAATAAAGATAGGAATTATAAAGACCTTTTAATAGCCAGGGGTGCAATACAAATTTTCAATATAGACAAAACTGGAAGTATACATGCTTATTTTGAAAAAGAAAAACTGTACAGAAATTAAACAATGTAATTAGACTTATGTATAATGTATATTTGTATCTATGTTTTATTCTTGAAATATAGTTTTTACAAAAAAACACAAAAAAACACATTGAGCCAACTTTTGTTAAGGGCAAATTATAACATATCTTTAAGGAACATATTTTTTAACGAGCTACCATTGGAAATTCCTCATCCCTAATTCATTCTTTAGAGTTCATTCAAAGACATGTCAAATTCTGATTCATGCTATTCCCACACTTTTAGATGATTTTAGAAAAGATTCTAATTCAAAAGAATTTTACCTGCCATTTCATTTCGTTATAGATAGAGGAGTTCATAATGACCTCATGAACTTACAGTTAGTTATTACTGAATACTAGTATTTTCAATAACAAATATTTTTGAAGAATATAATACTCATGATCATTTAATCATGACGCACAATAAAAGTCCTAATGGCTGTACGAATATTCTCAATTGGTACTGACGATAGAAGTGACAGATGACAAAAAAAGTATTGTATTAATGGAATGAAGCATAGGCTGAAATTCCAAAAATACCAAATTGAAATTCTTAGTATATCCACTGTGCTATATAGGCTCTAACAGTATATATACATAAACATTTCTTTTAAATTGTAATGCCTTGCAACAAAGAACAACTAATGCTGAAAATCGATTTGTTCTTTCTTTGAATTGAAAATAAAACTTTGAAAACATTTCATTTTCTATCACCGTTCCGCTGTTTTTATCATTACTTATGAGAAATGAAAACATTTTAGATGAACTTGTGAATCATTATTACTTTAATTTGTTTTTGAGAAATGAACTTTTTATTATCTTATTAAAGAATGCTGTCAAATCCTTTTTAGACACACGATTTGAAACTTGTGGAAGGCTAATCCTCTCGTCTTTCTGGCAAATACATCCCCCTTCAAAATTTGGCAACCTTAGCTCCATGCATCCTCTTTATATTTGAATTTTTTTTACATAACCTGCGAGGAAAATACTTATATAACAAGGTGTCCAACCCAAACGCTCTTACATACACGACGGAGCGTTTCATTACTGAAGCTAAACAAAGAAACGCTCCGGAGTAGGAAAAATGGCGGGCGGGAATGATGAGCCGTCTGATGATTTCCCCAATAATGGGAATAAGAGGTATGTGTTACTTATTTCGAGAATGCCATTCGATGGGTGTGATATTCATGTTGTAATTTGCTGGTTGTTGACGTTTGAAACAACTTGGAAGTGCTGTACGAAGCAGTATAGTTATCAACATTCATAAACGAATTTGTAAGTCTACCGGTCAAAACCACTTTTGACGAGACATGCGATTAGTTGTGCAAAGATTAGAGCACCAGAGTGTATATTGGTAAATTTACAAGGCTTCAACGCACCATACATTATCGTAATTGTGATTTGATGACCGAAAATCCAGTTTTAAAGATGATAACAATCTCATATTAAAGAAACGCTGCGACCTGGTTAATACAGTGAACTGGAAACGATGTGGTACTAGTCTGGATATGTTTAGGCATTTAGGAATAAGTTTGACTTTCCTCTTCAGGAAGAGAAAGAAAAGATCTATTATATCCCTTGGCATCAAAAGAAGAAAGATTAGTTCACATATAAACGTTTTGTTTCTTTGTCAATAGTTTTAGCACATATGTAGGCATAGCGTCTGAGGTAAGCGTCAGTCGGCTTGTTGCATGTGCTTGTAGCACCAACCAGGTTGGGAAGTTCCAATATCCTAACTAGTACAACACGTTTTTTAGAGATAGATTCGATTACGAACTCTTCTCTAGTGATCTGAAAATAATATCAAAACAAAATGGTAAGACCGTTTCTCATTTGTGTCCAAAATCGACGGAGTGTTTCGAGGAAAACAAGTGATTTTTCGAAAACAATGGATTTGGACTGGGATTTTAGCAAATGAGAATATACGAGTTTGTGATCTACTACTTTGACAGAAAGATTGACGTTTTCATTTAAATACTAATTTAATTCGTAATTTGTGGTCAATTCGTCAACTTCAGATTCGTTCCATCTACACTACGGAGCTTTGATCAAGCAAATAACAGTTTACCACCAGAAGTTGAATAAATACGATCTTTGCTCGGGGTATTGTACATCGAATGGTACATAATATGTCACCATAACGTATGATATGTAGGAGAAACGAGTGAAAAAATACTTACGGTCATAGTGGGATTTTCAAAAGCCGCCATTTTATTTTGCTCGACATTAGGGTTTCCACGTGAATGAAACGCTACGTCCTGCATGTAAGAGCGTTTGGGTTGGACACCGTGTACAATATTGATGAAAATGTAACTTGACTTTATTTCCAATGCCTCCAAATTACCCAATTTTTTTCTTCTTTTGATGAATTTTTGAAAATCGTCATTCCCATGTAAACCAAGAGGAACAAATGGGCTCTATATTTAATTAGTAGATACGATTCAATCGCAGACCATCTGTAATTATGTCTTTGAAGTTTAAAATCTCGATAATCCATTGTCGATTATCAGTTTTTTAAAGAAAATAAAAAGTGATTATCAGTAAGCAATGCATATTGGTACACCACTTGATTTTTCAAAATATTTTTATTATGAACTTTTCCCCTTAAGTGTGAAAATGAAATAGTCATTTGAAATAATAGATCTAGACATATTTGATATAATCCTCCTTATGCCTTTGCTTTCCTCAACAAAAGATGACTGCATCTGGCTTTTTTATAGGACAGAACTTTCCACTGCACGTAATGTGTGAACCTTTTTAGCTTACACTTGTATCTAGTTTACCAGAGACATACTCACCTAATTGCCTCCCTTAATCCATTTATTTGCTAAACATATATAATATATTTGGCTATATCAGTAGCTGATCGAGGGAGTCGAGAGATTTAAATAAATCTTAAAACGAGTGTTATGAGAATATGTGTAAATGATGGGTTTTCTACATACGTTTATCCATTTGTCAAGGGAAAGTCGATTTCAATTATTATTCCAAACTATTAGTTAATTACAGATATCAATATATTACTAACACTAATTATTTACAGAGAAACTTTTTTAACATCTAATTATAATTCGAACTTAATCGCCATTTCATTGTACTATACCCTAAACACAAAACGGCCATGCTTGTATTGATACAACACCTGAATGCTGGAAAACTCAAAAATCCGCTTGCAATTAAATCAAAGGTACGTGAAGCATTACTATGTTAAAGTAGATATTTGCTTTTCTTATCAAATGTTCGTTGCATATGTCAAGGTTTATTTTTTCAATGTTATGATTGTTAATTAATTGTTTGAGCTCAATTTCTATGTTTGATATTGTTCAATAATTATGGCATCACTTAAATATATGTACAAGGTGTCAAAAAGTTTGTAAACGCCTCGAGATCCCATTTCGGGGAAACTTTATTTGTATTTCGACAAAGCAAATAAGTAATATTTAATATTGTTAAGTTTCAAATTATGTTCTTGGCTAGAACTATTTTACATGAGAATTCCTAACGTAAATGTGGTTAATTTTATCGCTAGCTACCTTTTTAGGTAACGGATAATTTACTCTATACTGCGTTTTTCCGAGCCAACATACACGTTTTTCTTGTTCTCGAATCTTGGCAAATATAAATTTCTCAATTTGCAAAGAAAGATGTGCTTAAAGTGACTCAAATTTCTTGAGTTAAACCACATGGTTCCATTCAAATCAAATGCTGGTACTTTTCGTTACCTAAAACATTATTAAACTTTACTGTTAAATATTTGCACTGTTAATATAAATTCAATTAGTGACGGTATGTCGAACGTCAAAGAATATTGATATGTACGCTAATTCGAATTTCAGAAAGTAACATTTCGTTTTGACTCCCTAGATGTATAATTAATAATCTAAAACAGTGTTATAACACATTCACGTGACACCATCCACCATGAGGAAGACTTCGGATTTCAGTTATATTGTCTTTACTACGATTTTAATCTTATGTGTTTTACAAACTCTGAATTGTTCGAAGGAGGCGGACCGCTGCAAAAAATGTAGAAGAAAACTCAAAAGTAGTAAAAAACAAACGATCGGAAACGACACAACAAAGGTGACTTTCTCGGGGATCATTGATGGAAAAAGTTATCCGTATGTATTGTCACCAAGGCAGGGATTAGAGGAGACCTGGAAGACGATTGATCCAGAAGTAACATCTTCTCAAGACGTCATTAAGAGAGGTCAGATTAGTCATTATTTTCATTTCAATCCTTGAATTGATTAGATTCAAAATTAATATTACAAGAAAAGATTCAACATGATCGTGATTTCAATTATTGTTAATACGTTTCTAATTGTGTCTCATGTAACCCAATATAAATGTTTTCAATGTATTCTGTACTTATGTTGTACTTTTAACTATTATTTTCAAGATATTCTTCATGGGGACAAAGATACATGGTCAACCTTAACGTGTACCTGTAATTTCGCGTTCGCGTACATATTTCATTAAATAGGTATTTACAAACCAACGCAATTTGAATAGGAAACTGGACAACTCATCCCCTAGACCACTTATCCCTCAACAACTCATCCCTTGAACAAATCATACCCTGGACAACTCATCCTCTAGACAAATCAACCTTTGTTTTGGTAACTTAATGTTATATTCTTAATTCATATTTTTATCAGAGTTTTATACGAGATTGATTACAATCAGAAATGACATTTGTTTAAGCTGTACTTGATTTCATTCCCTTCCCAATCCGACCAACCCCCCTCTCGATTTTTTCGAGAGTATTTTTTTGCAAAACTCTTTTGCGTCTCCATTATTTTTTTGGCTTGAGCCTCAGATATTAAACACTTTTTGGCGTAAAAAACAAGGCGGTTGGGTATAAAGATGATATGACAGTTAGAACTTGATGCCAATAAATTGAAATTCATAAAATTATGATATCCATAAAAGGATGGGTATCGATATGGAGAACTTTTTGAACACACGTTTCTCTTCAACCATTCATAAAAAAAATCAAAAAAGTTAACACATCGTCAATTTAATGGTCATCTTTTGAATGATAACAATATAATTTGAAATATATATATATACTTTCATCTATATTGTTTTAGAAAACACATCAAACACTTGTTTTGTTCTTGGTATCATGTTTCCAGAGTGAAATGGAACATCTTTCCGAACCTCATTGGAACAAATCGACATAAACACAACATGTTTAGGTCTCTCAATATTGTAATTGTACAAAGGAAATTTTGGTTGATTTTAAAAAAGTATCTTGTTAATGAAATAAAAGGTCTATCTTGATTTTTATCTATTTTGGGGGGATTTTGTTTTAATTTTTTGAACACTTTTTTAAAATCAACCAAAAATTCCTTTGTATAACTATAATATTGAGAGGTCTAAAAACATGTTGTATATGCTATTTTGTTCCAACAAGATTCGGAAAAACATTTTATTTCATTCTCAAGAATTGGTAGAAAGGAGCAAAAACAATTGCACTAAAAAACAAAAAATGTTAACAAAAACGGTTATATAAAATATTTCTAAATAATTTTCGCATTAAATTGTTGTCAATCAGTCAACATTACATAAAATACCATGTTTTTACAGAATGTTTTCAATGATTGGTTTAAGAGAAAAACGTTGTTGAATTCAGTTCTCCATATCGATACCAATCCTTTGTTGCCCATTTTGCAATATGATTGCTAAAGACAAAAACAAGCTGAACTTGATATTGCTGACTATTTCACGTTACATTGATTTCAATCGGATTTCGCGATACCTGCTATCTTTGAAGGAGTGTAACTTCAGTTCTAAAAAAGATTTTACCATGATTTTAGTTTTATTTGAGAGATGAAATATTATTCTTTAAGGCAGCGAAGCATTTTTTCGCACCTACAATTCTTGTGAAAGAAAATTGACAATCTTTCACAAAATATCAAAAATATTCACCCCTCGATCACGTTGACCACGATATGACCTATGTTGACCTACATTTTTAAGAAACAAAACTTTTCTGAAGAGGTAATTGAATAAGGTTTACAACAATACCAACACTAATGAAATCAGGCAAGAAATAAAAAAAAATCGCAGAGGGGGTCCCAATGACCCCCCTCTTGCGACTTAGTGTTATAAAAAAGGTTGCAGACATAAGGGTTAACTCACGATCTCTCGATAGGCAGCGAATTGTGAAACAAGTCAGACTTGAAAAATGTAACATAAGGATGATTGACTCCCAGGGTTCCATCTCGATATTCTGCCCTCCTAATTTCAAAATTCGAATTCATATAATTTTGCGCTATTTGTTCACTTCAGAAATTGAATCGTGAGTTTTGGTCTTATTTCCAAACAGGTACAAGCTTAAGGTCTTTGACATGGATGTGTTCAACGTTCTCTGATTTTGTGTTTTCAAGGTATTCGTTATTATTGTTTTCAACGTTCTATATAATTGTCCTCGGAATGTACTGTAAAACATTGTTTCAACGTATTCTATGTTATAGGAAGAGAATTTGTAGCATATGTTCAACAAAGGTTTAACATCGATATAAGCAGATTGAGTGACACAGAACTATTGATGGGGTCTTCAGTAGAATTTGGAAATCTAACATTTGTGGGATTCATTAAAGAAAATGACCTTAGACTTGTTACGAAAACAACTCCAGCCCGAGAGGTCACCTACTACAGAAATACAAAATACAAAGGCGTTGGGTATGCTCTATTGTCTAACGCTGATGTCTATATTGACGGAGGTAAGTCCTCTGGTCTCTGTGAAATGGACTACTAACATGTTGATATTATTCATCTTTTTTATTTCTGTGGCTTTGCAAGAGATCATATTCCAATTTTTATCATCCCATTTTAACCGGGAGACATGTCTAATTAGGTTCAATAAAAAATTAAGTGGCGGAGAGAATCCATGCAGGGAACGATATTTATGTTCACGTATAAACTTAAGATGTGTAGCTTAACCTATTTATTGGCAGGAGAATGGACTGGAGTGATGCCGAAAGATTCAGCTATATTTACAGACAACGCTATATTAGTTGGCAATGAATGCGATTTTAAAGAAGAAACACATTTGTTGAAAATCCGTTCACTCGATGTCCACCCGGCTAAGTTCCACAATAGTGAATATACTGGAGTAAATACATTAGAGGCTGAAGTCTGGTCCAGCATATATGGTTATGGCCTACAATATTCTATTCACGTGCATGAAGCATACGTTGATTCTTTTGTTAACGTTTTTAATATTGTTGCTTGATTAGACATACACACGATGCACAGTGTTGCCATTCGAGAGTCAAATGTTTTATTTTATTTGTTATCGTATCATATTTTATCATTACTGACTATTGAAATGAATTGCATTCATATGACATGAAAGCCTCTTGTGAGTTAAAATGTATCATCTGCAATAAAAATTGAACTGTGATTTATCTGTTTGTCCCACATCAAACTCTAAAATCTGTATTGATATAGCCTATTCAAATACATTCGATGATTTAATTCTATGTTTTAATTACCAGTAACTTGATGATAGTCTGTGAGTAAGCTTCTTGATGTTCATATAATGCCATGAAGTTTATTACATATATTCATATTAATTAATCAAGTACTCCTGGAGTCAGGATATAATTCCCGCATTATATGTTAATGACTTAAATACAGAGCATTCTGGGTTAAGTGTGAAAATGTAATAAAACAAAAATTCATTCAAGGATGTCAATTTTTCAAATTCTACATCCAAAACCAACGCACGTACACGTACATAACCTTGATTTCGTCAATACACATTAAGATATCACCGTCATTTTACCATGTGGTTCGACATAACAGTCATGTACTAGAGTCCATTTCACTGCTTCATTTCGTCAGTAGAACGGCAAAAATAAGAAATTGAGAGACCATTGTGCAATAATATACGGAAAAGTATATTCATAATGTACACGATGAACGGTGTTGCCCTTCGAGAGTCGGATGTTTTATATGTTATCGTATCATATTGTGTCATTTCGGACTATTGAAATGAATTGCATTCATATGAAATGAAAGCCTCTTGTGAGTTAAAATGTATCATCTGCAATAAAAATGGAATCTCTGTGATATATCTGTTTGTCCCACATCAAACTCTAAAATCTCTAATGATATAGCCTATTCAAATACATTCGATGATTTAATTCTATGTTTTAATTACCAGTAACTTGATGATAGTCTGTGAGTAAGCTTCTTGATGTTCATATAATGCCATGAAGTTTATTACATATATTCATATTAATTAATCAAATACTCCTGGAGTCAGGATATAATTCCCGCATTATATGTTAACGACTTAAATACAGAGCATTCTGGGTTAAGTGTGAAAATGTAATAAAACAAAAATTCATTCAAGGATGTCAATTTTTCAAATTCTACATCCAAAACCAACGCACGTACACGTACATAACCTTGATTTCGTCAATACACATTAAGAAATCACCGTCATTTTACCATGTGGTTCGACATAACAGTCATGTACTAGTATATGATTTCCTGGAGAGATTGGACGTTTGATACTATATTATGCGTAACACATTTTTGTCAATAAATACTATTTGGCTACATACCGTTACGCAAGTACATTGACACGATTATACAGCCTGTCTGTGAATTATATTATCAAATTTATCAATCTCATTCTAAAGTGAGAATAAAGATGTCGATATCAAAATATTTCAGGAAAATAAAAAAACATACTGACGTGAATCACAAAGTCATGCATACCCTGTGTTTTGTAACTGCATTGGAAACAGTTTAACGGGGGGGGGGGGGGGGGGGGGGGCTGGTGTACGTTTCAGTCTAAAGGGGTGACTGGCGATGGTCTTATTTTTCAGTTCATCTATTGTTCGAAGCAAAATGGTTTAAATGAAAGATGCAGCGTGTAATTTTGGAATAAGTTTAACATCGAAACAAGAAAAAGTATCTGTTATTTATAAAACTAAAAAAGCATATATTAAGTGTTGGTATAAAGCCCACGGCAAGAAAATATCTCGATATAGTGAACATTGTTGGCAACATTGTCATTAACCAAGTTCATCCCCAGTGCAAAATCTACGGCATACCACGTTACTGTGCGTACCGCGACACTGAAATTTCCCATTTAGATAATCGGCTTATGTCGGAGATACGTCACGCTAATCATCACTGACGCCATTTATTTTGAATGTGTCTGATTGAATAAAAATGCAACTCATCATTGACAAGAGAGTCTTTATTAAATTATTTTTCATTTTCCCATTGAAATGCAAAGAGAATCTGGTTGATATAATACATTTTGACGTTTTAGATGTACCTTTGTATAAAATGAAAAGAAAAACGACCCCTAGTTTTACATTTTATGATCAAATACTGATAAAAAGTTTCAATAATGAGACAGCAAGGCGGATAAATCTGATATCGTATATGTATTAACAATGGGTTAGGAGCATCATAAAAACGAATCAATTGATACTTTAGTTGAAATAAATATACGTGTTGCTGTGCTTGAAAATAGGCGAATGGCGTAAATTAGCCCTATTTTAATGAATTTTGAAAACCTTTCGTCCTCCACTTTTCCACATGCAACAGAAAACACATACTTTTTGCGAACTAGATCAGCTACTATTCTAGTATTTATTAATAAACTCAAATTTAAGAGCAAAATAATCATGAATGATTTATTAAAAATTGATCTCGTATTTTTTGTTTAATGTACACCTGAAAAGTTAAAGGTAACACAAAATGAGCAAAAAAGGTCGCTGTCAACATATTCTATTTTTCAAACTCTATGACGTAACAATATGGGACGCTTACTAAAATTCATCCTTTGAAATAACTTCCATATACCTTTATCAAGACACAAAATAAGTATAATAGTCATATATTGTTTGAGTTATGAGCGTTTAAAGACGAAAAATACTTCAAAATGTAACATGTCAACAGGGGATATTTACCAGATGTTTTGGTGAAAACTATTTTTAAAAAAAGAACGCGCAGATATTGTGAACAGAGTGTAGGCCTAGTTGATCTTAAAACTTTATCGAAACAGCTTTAAAATGATATATAACTTTAATTAGAATATTTTCTTATAATCCGGGGAATCAAAGTTACTTTCACGCGATACTCTTAAAAAAACAAATGCGCCACCCTTTTGCGACACGTCAGACTTCTCCCCCCTAAGAGTGGTGTGTCCGGGGTAGAGTATAGCCCCTCAATAATGGAGACCATAAGAGACGATATGAAAATGTTAATAGCAACATTCTTAAAGAAGACAGACACCCTGTTGTATACAAAAAGTAAAAAATTAAAAATGATAACAAAGCCAAAAGAATGTATTCACTTTTGGTGCAAGTTGTACCTTTCTTCCTACTGGACGTCGAACTGAAAATCTGAAGCCAAATGTTTTAATATTATAAATGAAAAATATTTAAAGATTATACATGCAACACAAATACAGATTTAAAGTCTTTACAATTAAAATCATATATCTCATAGTTAGAAACACATACCTTATAGTTGTATCATTTTCCTCTATACAACTACATCTAACGATGCATACCAAAGCGACAAGAAGTCTTAGACAGGTAAATTTATCCATTTTCCGCTGGTTTCGGGTAGCGAAATCACTTCTTATGTGTATTCTTATTATTCAAAACGCGAAGGATGTTCCATATATTTTACCATTTTCATTGTGTTCCCAGTCATGTAAATGATATGTCGAACTAGTTATACTGACTGGAGGTCCAAAGAGAACTCTGTTATCTTGGTTCAAAATTTTTTCAAAATCCAGCATGGTTTTGATATTTTTTGTTTTGTAATTTCCTGTTAACTTCCATAGCACTTTAAGTACAATTTAAAATTGATTTTAATAAATATAATAGTTTGACATGACCCTTAAAAGTATACGTATAAGTTGTACTTTCACTTATATGCGAAATCTCTCTTATGATTGGCTCACAGTTACTTATAGTGATAGTTATTTTATTTCTAAACAGTGTTGAATAGAGTGTATAAACCTTTGCAGTTTCAAACAAGTTTTAGTGCTTTCTGACAAATTGTATCATCAGACTTATTCAGTTCATGATTATGTAATACTGACCTACATGTACTTATCAGTTACACAAGTCTTTAAAGGCAGAATCAGATATGTAGGGGTGACAAAATTACAAGCAATATGTACAATTGACCTACCAATCTAGTCTTTGCAACCTCAAATACAATATCTTCCAAAAGATTCACAATATGTTATAAACTAATGAAGTTATGGATTCAAAGTGCAAAAATGGGTGAAAAATATGTAGATTCTCCAAAATAATAAGAATGGTAACCATTCTTATAGAAAAATAATGCATTATTGTAAAAACCTTTAGTTTTCCTGAAATAAAGTGTGCAATTTGGGGATTTTTAGAAAATAGACATGCCAAGGAATGACATGAGTCAGAAATATTCTGAAATTGAAACAATTTTTTGTTGGGCTGCTCGCTAGATCTGATTCACACCGGAATAGCCTGACAACAGTAAGCCCATCATTCTATTAGAACCATAACGGTATTTTGTTTTGCTTAATTGCTAAAACATATCCGTTTCGCCTGCATGGTTGAAGGCCTAATCAAAATAAGGAGCATATACATTTTGAAAATTGACATGTTTTCATTTATTTTGTTTGGCAATTTTAAATGTGCAACATTTACATTGTTTGAATCTTAATTTTTCTATTCATAGACCCCTTCATTCTACTAGAGTGATAATGATTTAAAATAAAATTGCAATTCACTTAATTATCGTCTTGTAAGGAAATGGTCGAATAGTGAACATATACTATCAGACCAAGAGTTTAAAGCTGACAAGCTTACCTTTCAAATGGTATATTGGACATTGGGACTAATTGTGTTCTATATTTTTAATTTAGCAAAGGGACTTTGAAGCTCTCGTTTGCTCAAGGTGATAAAAAACAGAAGGTTTTAGACTCCATTTTCCCATAAGGTTGACTTATCATAAAAGCACAGCAAGTAACTTTCATTATTTTTTAAGATATCAAAATGAATATACAGTATGTATGTCAGTGTTTTCTGTTTAATTCGATCTTTGTAGGTAAGTAGAACTATGAAAACAAACTTTTATCTAAAACCACACCAAAAAGCATTTCCTTCAAGATTTCTCTTACATCAAAACACTTGATATTGAATAACGTATTTTACGTATACGTGTTCTAAATGATTTTAATTACAAAATGATTTGACTGACATTGACTGCAAAGACTAGATTGGGCAAATGTTGCGAGCAATCTTCAAAAAGCACTACGATGTTTCCCTTGAAATCCTAATTTCGTTAGCCTATCTTAAAAAGGAATCGAGATATTTAATCACATTACACATCAATTGCCACACAGGGAGGAAACTTGGCATGGTGCTAATTTTACCACCTCTCACAATGGTCAAGATTGCTCGGTCATACATGACAGTTACATAATGATCTTGGTACCATTTGATGGAGAATAAATCAGGCTTTTTACTACTACCTTTGTATTTTATAAAAACTGCCTAGGATTCTAGCAATTTTGATTTGAAGTTGGGTATACTTTTTGTGGACTTTTTTTGTGTACATGTATGGCATTAAAATTTCATCAAGGGATGTTTGTTTTAACAATTGATAGGTGGTTGCTAAGCAAATACCGTGACATCAATATGATATTTTCCTGACCAATATCATATTTTCCCTTCGAATAAAATTCATATTCCATCCCTCCCATTAGATAACCTCTATACATCCAACGCACGGGCCTGTTGATTCAGTAACCAGTATGATATATTATAAACTTTTGCCCTTTGCCCTCATTCAATGTAATTGACATTAGCGTACTTCCGTATCTCGTTCTCATTGGTAAGTGGGTATGCCATATACCGCAGGTGAATCTGTCATACACCGCAAGTGAAAATGCCATATTTGTCGCGTATTAGACATATATTTTGATCGAGTTTACCGCGTGACATCAAGCATGATACATATGGATGCTAATTGATCATTACGCACAATTTATCACATGTGAGCATCTAGAGATAAACCAGCCTGTTACTTTTTCTTGAAATTCATCATTTTATAAAAATGGGGTATGGTACTATACTTTATCTACAAGTAATATCATTTTGGAGAGACTACATATGTAACCTATGGTATTAATCTACTGTTTGCACTTTATTTATGATTTTTGGAAGTTTTAGGAATAATCCAGTTACTATAAATACATTTAGTCCTTGGTAAAGAGAAAATTGAATCTTATTCGTATAGCTATTTAAATATACTTCTGAAATAGGGTAGGTACCGTATAAATTTAACCAAATGTAATTATATTTAGACAAATCATGATAACTATTGATGCTAATTGATCATTATGTTACGAAGTATATACATTCATGGTTGCGCGGTATTTGTGATACGGGTGAATATGCCATACTCACCTGCGGTATATGGCATATTCCGCAGGTGAGTATGCGATATTCCGCAATGAATATGCGATACATTGATTTCATTGAATAGCCGATACTCACCTGCGGAATATGTCATACTGATTTGCGGAATATGCCATAAACCGCAGATAAATATGACATATACCGCAGGTGAAAACGTGATTCAAAAAGCCTTGATTTGATTGGTTACGAGAATCGACTCTAAATGTAAAACTACGCTAGATTACCAATGAATATAGTTAGTGCGTCGAGTACTAATATATGAATCCTGGATTGATTGAGTGAGTTTATTACGCGAGATTGGTGACTGATACTTCTGCTAAGTTAATATATTCGATACACAGTACTGTTGATTCAGTAATCATTATAATAATTAATAACATTTTACTTGTTCGTTCAATCTATGCAATTGACGATTGCGTACTTCCGTATCACGTTCTCATTGGTTAGCTTGTATGTCATATACCTCAGGTGAATCTGTCATACACTGCAAATCAATATGCCATATTCGTTGCGGAATATGACATATTTTTGTATCGTGTTTACCGCGTAACAATATAGACTATTTTAGAAAGAATTGCAAAATTGATTCTTGCATATTCCACAAAAATATTTTTGAAACTTGTAACTGTCATTTGTAACTGTAACTGTAACGTGTTACTTCTCAAAATATGGATGTGGACGTTTTTCTTCCCCATACTTTGGTTTGAACATTTTAGTATACGCCATTAAAAATGGACGTGAACCATCCGTGGGAAAGTATCCTCACCTATTATCTCTACAAGAGGAAGTATTCCTGGTCAATTCGCTGCATGTTTGTTCCGCAGTTCTCATCCATCCTCAATGGGCGCTTAGTTCGGCACATTGCTTTAGAGAAAGGTACCGTAAACATACAGTATATTCAAGGTGATATTTTTTCTATGTGTACGTTTCTCTAAGATAATGCTTCCCCATGCTAGAGATCAAACAGTTCTATTTTTTACAAGAAAATTAAAAATTTGTTTTTGAAATGTGTGAAGTTCCGTTTGATTTTCATAATTGTTCCATTTCAAAAAATCAGTTAACACAATATACACATGGAGTTGAAATTTCCTATTGGGGATTTGGGGATATTATCCACATAAATGTAAATTACAAAATTAATTCACAGAAAGATATGAAAATGTGCAAGACTGCAAGCCATTTATTTTTATTTCATAGGTGTCTTGTTTATGCATTTTCATATCAATTAAAAACTAAGGTTTGAGAAAAATTTTCGAACTATAAAGAGAAATCCCGATTTTTTATTGCTCATTCCGATTTATTTTTCAAAATCCCGATTTCCAAAAAATCCCGATTTTTATCCCGGAGATATTCAGATTTTTTGTAAAATATCCCGATTTTTAGAAAATATTCATATTTTTCGTAAATTATCCCAATTTCTTTTAATAAAATATCCCGATTTTGTGTTCAAGACTCCCGATTTGTTAACGAGAGATCCCTATTTTCAGTAAAAACTCCAGATTTTTAAATGGTACCCTCTCGATTTTCGTTCAAAACTCCCGATTTGTTAATGAGATGGCCTCGCAAAAAATGAGAGTATGCGACAGGTTTTGTGATAAAACAAAATACAGTAGCTTACATACAAAATTACGAAAACTAAAAAAACTCTCATCTTCTTTTAGCAACAGTATTCTAGACCGAAAATAAATCGAACGTTCTGGGTTTGAAAAATTCCGACCAATTACTCAGATGCGTGTACAGTAGGTAGTTGACAAATCAATCTGAAAAATCAAGACATACTAGTATGTCCAGTAAAAGAAAATATTATAATCTGCTCAACACAAGAAAATATATTTCACGTTTTGTGACTTTACAACATGGGATATACACTCCCCTCCATAAGTTTGGCAACCTTTTTTCCCCCATTGAACTACGTGTTAAAGCCTCTTTACCTTTGAATTTTTATTTACTTAACCTGCGATGAAAATACTTATACTATTGATGGAAACGTAATTTGACTTTAATTCCAATACCTCCAAATTTTCTCAATTTTTTCCTCAATAACAATAGGTCGAAAATTGATGATAAATTTGATGAATTTTTAAAAAATGGGAAATGGTAGGTTTGCCGCAAGTCATATGACAGAATATCCATCCATCTGAGTCCTTGCAAAAATACAAGTTGAGTAGGCAATTGAGTTTGCTAACTTTATTCAACCAAAAATTGATACGTTTCTTCAGGTTCAACAAAGTTATAGGGCTTTAAAGTCAAAATTGTTTTTCAAAAAACCTCTCCCATTGAAATAACACAGGAGGCGAAAAATGATTTTCAAAACTCAAGACTTTGAAGCTCTGTAACTTTAGTATTCATCAAGTAAACTAAACACTTAGTTTACAAAAAAGTTAGACAATTCAATATTCTATATAAACACATTTTTTGCTGACTCTTTTACTGATTAGATATCCTGATTTGCCCCAAACCCACCATTTCCCATTGGTTTACATGGGAATGACGATTTTAAAAAATTCATCAAATTTATCATCAATTTTCGACCTATTGTAATTGAGGAAAAAAATTGAGAAAATTTGGAGGAATTGGAAATAAAGTCAAATAACGTTTCTATCAATAGAATGAGTATTTTCACCGCAGGTTAAGTAAATAAAAATTCAAAGGTAAAGAGGCTTTAATACGTAGTTCAATGGGGGAGCAAAGGTTGCCACACTTATGGAGGGGAGTGTAAATGCCCTCCCGCTGGATGTATTATATTCAAACAAAGTAAAGTCAATTTAGTTAGAAATAGTGATCAACCAGGAACACCCCTACCATACATTAAGTTGATAAAACATGAAAATGCTCAGACACTCATTGACTGTGGAAACTATGATCACGTTAATGATTTCCTTATCCATAACTTCTTGAAAATCAAGATTATAATTTTCTGACCCCTAATCTTCACATTTTAAACGGCAACGTATACGATTTTCTAGTAAGTATTCACATTGGAATCCAGGTAAGTATAGAGCACATTGAATACAAAACGGCCATTTTTGATATGATTTAATAGCATAGGGGGCTCAGATAAAAAGAGACGGGCGACATTTGTTAAAGCATATTTTTGACAATGGGGAAATGTCAAAATGATAGTTTCTGTCAGTTAACCCAGAAGTACTCGAAGGCAAAAACCGCTTTTACAAACTGGCTTCTTACGTACTACAGAAGCCGGCTTCTGGAGTCACCTAGAAGCCGGCTTTTAAAAGCCGGCTTCTGAAGGACAACAGAAGCCGGCTTCTGGAGTCACCAAGAAGCCGGCTTTTACAAACTTGCTTCTTACGTACTACAGAAGCCGGCTTCTACAGTCAACAAGAAGCCGGCTTTTAAAAACCGGCTTCTGAAGGACAAAAGAAGCCGGCTTCTGGAGTCACCAAAAAGCCGGTGTGAAAGAAATTATGGTCCCCTGGGGATTATGGTCCCCTTTCTAAACGGCCCTTACTGGCCCTGATTGTGTATAAGATAATAAGGGAAAGAGTTGTATTTCGGTCACCATATAAATCAATGGAGAGTAGGACCATAATTTGATAGGACCTCACACCCTTTTACACCGGCTTTTAAAACTGGCTTCTTACTTGCTGTCGTACTGCAGAAGATGGCTTTTGAATATAGTTTATATTATATTATAAAACTATACGGGTAAATTGAATTCTAAGCATGGATATCGATGAATTTGATCACGTTCATCAATTCCAAAAATATTATGCATTGTATTTCTGTTTAATAAAAACGCACCGCTCATTTTTCAAAACTGGCTCCAATTTAGAGCCAGTTTTCAAATAAACTCCCGATTTCTCCCAATTATAGTAATCAATTCCGATTTTCTCCCGATTATTATTTGTAAATCTCGATTTCCTCCCGATTGTCATTGTAAACTCCCGATTTCTCCCGATTATCCTAAACAATCCCGATGTTCTCCCGATCTTTTATAGAAATACCGATTTTCTCCCGATTTTTCTTTGAAAAAATCCCGACTTCTCCCGATTTTTAAAACGAAAATATCCCGATTTAAATTTTTTCTACTTCACAGGTATGCTATATGCAATTATTATTTGTAAAATATAAATAAAATTTTTGAACTACGACTTTGAAGTACATGAACTACGATTATTTTACAGTGAGTCTAATATGTATCATGTAATGAGTGGGGTACATCAACTACTGGATAATCTTGGTGAAGAATGGGAGCAGGATATAGAGGTGTCCAACTACACGCTGGTACGTTATTATAGCGGAATAATACAGGCATACTTCCCGACCTAAAAGTCTCGAAATTCCGGTCTGATTGTATAAAAAGATTCCGGGTTTAATCCGGGCTCAGTCGTTTTCAAATTTCCATTTTTTCGGGTAAAATATGAATAAAACATCCGGGGTTTTCCGGGTGGGTATTTAAAAAAAATAAATTAAGCTAATACATTTATCTCCAATATATCAAAATTAAATCAAACTTTCAGGTAGTGAGAAATCAAATGAAACGCGCATAACCTTAAAAACAAATTGGTTTCAACCATTCCTGGCAAATGCGCAGCAAAGAACTGCGAAACAATCGCCCACCCAATGGGACGGAAAGAATGGCAGACTGACCTGTTTTAACATTATCCGATTTTGGTGAAAAAATCAGTGAACTATCAGCACCATTTCGTCCCATTATTTCCACATTGTTATAACTCACTTTTTACAGGTTTTGGGATAAGTATACTATCTTTCTCAATTTTTCATGAGGAATTCATTTCTGAGGTCCATTTTAATGGATCTCATCTCCTTTTGGAGATATCCAGTGCCACATTGTTATAAGTGCAAAATGAGGAAAAACAATTTAGGCCCACCTTGTCATATCTGTTTGGGTAGGCAACAGAGCCAATCAGATACATAAAAAAAACAAAAAAAGTTCATTCAGTCAACTTTCAGTCAATTACTGACCCTGTTATAGCTTTTTTACCTTTGTCATGTACCTTTAAAAGATTTGGTGCATTTATCTGAAATATTTACAATTTTTCGCATTTATGTTGTGTTGTTATGGCAACCACGTGACCAATCATGATCGAACTTGTCATAGCAACTACTTATATATAGATACATAATCCCGAGAAATATGAATGTGATTGAAGGTATATAACAGAAATTATGGATGATTATCATTGTACCCCCTCATAAAAGTAGCCAGGGGGTATAAATGGCAATAATTCGCAGATGCTGAAAAGCTAGACCCTATCATTTTCAAAATCAATGAGAAATGATTTACTTCACATAATTAACATAATTAGAAATACTGTACTGTAAGCAAAAACATGGACCAAGCTCATCCGGTACCTTATCAGTCAAAATGGAACACAAGCCATATTCTTTATAATTAGATGGGCAGAATAATGGTATACGAGACAATAATAAATGGAAGTGAATAAAAATTCAGTTTTCAGGGTTATTTTGATATTTCAAAAACAAACAAAAAGTGTTTTATGATTCACAACAACACAGGAATTAAATTATATTACATTTATTTACTCAAGTTTGGCTTGGGGTTCCCTGAAAGAAAGTCATGTGATTATACATTAATAATATACAGTAGTTAGGGCAATCCACCTCACCAAGCTATCTATCTTGATTTCAAATTCATATATGTTCTTTTGATTGATTGATTGATTGATTGAATTTTTGGTTGATTGGATTACTTGATTGAGAGCTTGTGTGATCCCGCGACGTGTCGCTTGATATGATGGACGAAGTCTTGGGTACAAGCTAGATTGGAGAATTGAAGCGACCAACTGCATATGTGTACTTGTGGTCGGGGAGTACAAGTATGCAAGTCTACCTCCAATAACACATTGAACGGAAGCCGTAGGCACACGAAAGCTACATCGTTGGCAGCAAACGTGGGCTGCATCGTTGGCAGCCGAAGCCAAAGGCAAACGTGAGCTGCATCGTTGGCAGAGCTGCGCTGTGATCCCTGAATATTGGGAACGCACCAATGCATTGTTGGAACCCATGTACATCTTTGAATAGTGAAATGATGATAATCACAAGATGCACAATCGGCAAACAAACATGTCTTGTACTGATCTAAACCTAAATATCGGCCAATAGGCCTATCTCTTAAGATAAATGGCGTTCAGAAGAATTGGTGTGCGGTGGGGTGGATGGCGGATAACTTGTTTAACAAGGTGACTTTGGGATGTTGCTATCGCAAAGCGCACCTTAAAATGAATCAAGCAATGGTTAGTGTTACAATAACATAAGAATTAGCCAACCGGTTCGTTGCACATGATATATGCCTTGAGGGGTGGATACTGTTGTCAATCATAAACCCGACTTATACTTAAAGTATAAGTCAAACATTTATGATTCACAACAACACAGGAATTAAATTATATTACATTTATTTACTCAAGTTTGGCTTGGGGTTCCCTGAAAGAAAGTCATGTGATTATACATTAATAATATACAGTAGTTAGGGCAATCCACCTCACCAAGCTATCTATCTTGATTTCAAATTCATATATGTTCTTTTGATTGATTGATTGATTGATTGAATTTTTGGTTGATTGGATTACTTGATTGAGAGCTTGTGTGATCCCGCGACGTGTCGCTTGATATGATGGACGAAGTCTTGGGTACAAGCTAGATTGGAGAATTGAAGCGACCAACTGCATATGTGTACTTGTGGTCGGGGAGTACAAGTATGCAAGTCTACCTCCAATAACACATTGAACGGAAGCCGTAGGCACACGAAAGCTACATCGTTGGCAGCAAACGTGGGCTGCATCGTTGGCAGCCGAAGCCAAAGGCAAACGTGAGCTGCATCGTTGGCAGAGCTGCGCTGTGATCCCTGAATATTGGGAACCAATCAGTGATTTTTGCTTTGCAAGGCCTACACATACACATGGGTACCTATACGAAACAATAAGTTTTTAAAAATTACTACTCAAAAGTTATGAAGACCTAAACTTCAACCTCAGATTTCTCAATATCAGCGAAAATGCAATTGTAACAATGTGGAAATAATGGGACGATTTGTAACCCCGTGTTAAAGGGCCGTTATGATCTGAGAACATTCTTGAAAAATGAAACCTTATTTTACACTTATGTAATATTGTCAGTCTGTAAAATTTTTGTCATGTTAATGCTATACATTTAATTTCTGAATCATGAAACCTTTTGTTTCACTTCTACTAAAAAGGATATTAAAGAAGAGAAGATAAACTTGTGGCTAGCTATTTCAAACCATAACAAAAAAACGTATAAATGTTGTTAGTCTGCGTAACCACAATATTCTGGTATACGATGCGTTACATTTAATTTATCACTTCCTGAACGTTTGATTCAATTCTGCTAGAAAGAAGATTGAAGAAGATAGGATGTCCTATAAAATATTTCGTCATATATTGGTGATCCAATCGATTACGCTGGTAACCGTTTCGGTAACAAAATGTCGGACCATCGAAGGTACGATTTTTCTTTTCTCCTTATTTCACACGTTGTAGGCAGAATTCCCACGACATTTTTATCATAAACGTTTATCAGTATCATATGTTTAAGAAAATGTACATATTTGCGAACAAATAGTAAAGAAGACAACAGAATCATCGATTTAATTCCTCACTTATGTTACATTAACGGTATTTCGAAAAACTGTTAAGATCTGCACTTTTAACCCTTACCGTTTATGTAACATGTACATTTTCTAAAACATATGATACTGATACATGTTGTGAGAAAAAAATGTCATGGGGATTCTGCCTACAACGCGTGAAATAAGGAAAAAAGAAAAATCGTTCCTTCGACATTCTGACATTTTGTTACCGAAACGAACGGTTTCGGTAACCAGCGTAATCGAGCGGATCACCGGTGTTACAAGTTCAATGCATTACATCTAATTTTACACTCCCTGAACGTTAGATCCAATTAAAGGGGCAACAAGGACTGTAGAGAGAAAATTTTTTTTTTTTTACTTTTTCTGAGCTATCACGGCAACATTTGGCTTAACATCTTCTTTGACATACTTTTTTTCCTAAAATGTACGGGTATTGGATAAACTATCAAGTTCAAAGCTTCTATAAAGGGAGTCCCACTTATAGATATTTACGATCCACCACATTTCAAGAGGAATATCAGCTGATATAATGTTCATCCAAGGGGTTTCTTTATAGATAATAAAAATATATGTTAGTCTTGATGAAGTATCCAAACTTCAATATATTTTGAAACTGGTCGATGATCGTTGAATGGCCCCTCTGCACCTTTAAGGTATGAAGAAGATTAATGAGGACAATGTTAGATTGCGTGTGCTCCTTTGGAACTTATAGCATTGATAAATATACGTATAAGGGCATATTTAAAAAGATTATGAGGTCAAAAGGGATGTGATGCACCCCCTCCATAGGCTTGGCAACCTTAGCTCCCCATTGAACTACGTGTTAAAGACTCTTTACATTTGAATTTTTATTTACTTAACCTGCGATGAAATGTTATTGTGTTGATGGAAACGTTGCACTAATAGCTCGGGAAAGGAAAATTTTTTCTTCTATAGTCTTTATTCAACCTTTAAATAACAGGTTAGCTTTCAGCTTTAAAAAATCATACAAACTTCTTAGGACAAAGTTATAATCATGAAGATGTGATTTTGAATATAGTAGCTTTAAGCGTTTTAAAGGGTGACACATAGCTTTCTTAGGAAAATATTTGCGATCATGGACATTTAGTTCCACATTGAAGATTAGCTTTTAGCTTCATAACGAATGACGAAGAGTTTTCATAGGAATATCTTTAAACTAATATAGTTGATGAGCTGTCAGACAACCGCAGTTTAAAAATGAGGAACTATTTTAGCTTGATTAAAGAACAATTTTGAGATACATCGGTGTCCTTTTATCAACGTTTAACGGCATGTTATAGCACAAAGACTACATTGGAGGTGGTGCGAACAATCACGACATTGCAATAATCCGATTAGCCATTCCTGCACGTATTGATAATTATACCACCCCTGTTGTGCTACCCCCACTTGGGACCAGCGAACAATACGTTGGACGCAATTGTAGCATGGTTGGTTGGGGTGATGGAGGTACGATTATAGAATGGTGAAAAACGATTCAATGATTTGATTTAAGCCGAGACCATGAAAACCACGTTTGCTTAACCTTAAACAGCCTGTTGTTCCTTCGATGTCTTTCTTCGTTTATCTCTTTCTTTGACATTTCTTAGGGGTGATGGATAAGATAAAGAAACCTAATTTAATCACTATTCATTTTGGGCTCAATGAGAACATCTGGCAAGTACACAGCAGGAGATAATGAGACTTATTGGAGCCCTTCATCAGATATATTGTAGTTACGAGCTTTGTTGTAGGCCTGAGTTTTTTTATTATCAGATAACGGTGCTACTGGGCTGATACACGAGGGATACTCTGCACCAATGACTAGCCAGCAATGTGACCAACAGTGGACCAATTTGAATATAAGGGAGTGGCATCTTTGCACGGGAGGAGATAACACGACTGCATATCCATGTTCAGTAATTATGTCGAACATATTTTGAAAACACGCTGAAAACAAAATAAATAGTTCTGATTTGACACAATTTCTATTATAAAACTTTGTGATCCACTTGTTTTTATATAAAACTGTTTATGACTAGCATCGTATTTTAGGGCATTTCACCCTGACAACATGGGTCGTTTTTATTTCATCCCGCGGTCGACGTTGCCCTCCTTTCCACTTAAGAAGACCACTTAATATCAATGTATTGATTGAATACATTGTATATTGTAATTGTAGAACGTGGCTAATAATGCTAAAAGCACAGCCACTCACACTGTATTTTTGTATTGTATTCTTTGTACAAATGAATAACTTAATAAAAAAAAAACCACTGAAGAATTTGCAATGAAAAAAACGGAAATTATCATCGTAATCCATTTTATTTTACAGGGAGATGGTGGGAGTCCTTTGACTTGCCCAGATGATAGTGGAAATCTCGTTCTCGCAGGACTTGGGTCATTTACCCCATACCCATGTAGCTTCTACCCACCTGCTGTGTTTACTAGGATCACATATTACAGAGATTGGATATGTGATGTTACATATCGGGATGTATGTTGAACATTGAACATTAGGCATTAAAACAATGTAATTTCAGATGAAATTGATGATGAATAAACATAGACTGTTTGCGGAAATATTTGTCTGCCATAGACTGGCCAAGCTATGTAATCATTTTCTCCTAATGACGCATTTAATTTTTGCTTTATCTGATGCCCGCCCACTCCACGTCAGTTTGAATCAACTCTTTAAACACTCCTTTTATGACAGTTGCCATTCATGACATTAAATATAAGGGACCAACTACAAATATAATTTAGTTGAAAAGGTTCGCAATTACCAAAATCGATTTTTCATCGTTTCTTGATGCTCCTTATATTTCTAAATAATTTTCGCATTAAATTGTTGTCAATCAGTCAACATTACATAAAATACCATGTTTTTACAGAATGTTTTCAATGATTGGTTTAAGAGAAAAACGTTGTTGAATTCAGTTCTCCATATCGATACCAATCCTTTGTTGCCCATTTTGAAATATGATTGCTAAAGACAAAAACAAGCTGTAATGAACTTGATATTGCTGACTATTTCACGTTACATTGATTTCAATCGGATTTCGCGATACCTGCTATCTTTGAAGGAGTGTAACTTCAGTTCTAAAAAAGATTTTACCATGATTTTAGTTTTATTTGAAAGATGATATATTATTCTTTAAGGCAGCGGAGCTTTTTTTGGCACCTACAATTCTTGTGAAAGAAAATTGACAATCTATCACAAAATATCAATAATATTCACCCCTCGATCACGTTGACCACGATATGACCTATGTTGACCTACATTTTTAAGAAACAAAACTTTTTCTGAAGAGGTAATTGAATAAGGTTTACAACAATACCAACACTAATGAAATCAGAAAAGAAATAAAAAAAATCGCAGAGGGGGTCAAAATGACCCCCCTCTTGCGACTTAGTGTTATAAAAAAGGTTGCAGACATAAGGGTTAACTCACGATCTCTCGATAGGCAGCGAATAGTGAAACAAGTCAGATTTGAAAAATGTAGCATAAGGAGGATTGACTCCCAGGGTTCCATCTCGATATTCTGCCGTCGTAATTTCAATTTCCTAAGTGACATCTATATTATTGAGTAGAGTGAATGTTTATTCTAAATAGGGAATTCTAAGTGGCCAGACGTACATTCAGCAGTGGTAAGCATATTTTGATTTACATGCCCGAGCAAGGGGCGCCCGAGCAAGGGGCTAAAATAAAAGGCTTTGAGGGCCTGGAGATATAATGCCCGAGCAAGGGGCTAAAATAAAAGGCTTTGAGGGCCTAGAGATTAAAAGGCTTTGAGGGCCTAGAGATATAAATGCCCGAGCAAGGGGCTAAAAATAAAAGGCTTTGAGGGCCTAGATATAAATTCCCGAGCAAGGGGCTAAAATAAAAGGGTTTGAGGGCCTAGATATAAATGCCCGAGCAAGGGGCGCCTGAGCAAGGGGCGCCCGAGCAAGGGGCTAAAATAAAAGGCTCCAAGGGCCTGAAAATTTATGAGCAAGCAGGGGGCAAAAATATGAACCATAAGGGGTAATGAATAAAAGGCCTTGAGAGCCTAGAGATACAGAGATATATGCCAGAGCAAGGGGCTATTAAATATAACTATGAGACAATATAAGAGAAGTTTTCTGAGAGGCAAATATTTGACAGAAACAAAGAAAAATAGAACATTGATGACATGAAAAATCTTGATAACATGGCCTTATAATGAACACTGGAAATTCAACGTGTTAATAACACAGTAAAATTAGAGGTCATTATACAGTACGTTACAGTGTGACGAAAATAATGACACTCAGGTATAATCTGGTAATTGGCAATTGAATAAAAACTGGGGTTTACTCAATAGAAAGTAGGTTGAATTGTTTTGACATGACTGGATAACCTATGCAAGTGATTGGTTATGTAATGGTTTAATTCCATGTACCCTCTTGTAAACTCATTTGAAAATGACTTGAGTTTGTAACATTTGAAACTAGTGAAGTCTGATAAACAATTGGCTTCTCTTTACATCTAAAGTCCGGGAGCACTGATCTCTTAGTGGTTTTAACCACGTGGACTTCGGATGTGAGAGTTGTCTCTCCACAGTAGGAGGTAATTGGCAATTGAGATTAATTACTCATGTTAGGGGACTGATTTTTCCCCACCAGTAATTCATGAATGAAACATTGATATGAGGTCAATTTTAGGTTTTATTAGCTTCATAATTACATCATGGAAAACTATCTTCTAGAACTACTGGGAGAGATTGCTCTCAAATCCGATGTCCACGTTAGTTTTTTGTTAATTTTTTATTAAAGATTTGAGGATTTGGAGTAGTAAAAATTAACAAATCACATTATTTAGGATGTAAATACACCGTAAAGGGTAAAATTAAGTGTATTTCACCCAATCCTTTAACATGAAATCTACTTGAATGTATGGATGTCACTTAGGAAACATAGATTTCCTAAGTGACATCTATATTATTGAGTAGAGTGAATGTTTATTCTAAATAGGGAATTCGAGGGAGGTAGTCATTAGCGAATGGAATGGATAATAGTTTACATATCATGAAATTTGGATGAAATATCATGAAATTGGGAAATGATTGAAAAATAAGTTACCCTCCCACCCAACCCATTTCCTGAGGCTGTACATTCTGGTGGGTTTCACTTAAATATGTATTTCACCCAATCCTTTAACATGAAATCTACTTGAATGTATGGATGTCACTTAGGAAACATAGAAATTCGAATTCATATAATTTTGCGCTATTTATTCACTTCAGAAATTGAATCGTGAATTTTGATCGTATTTCCAAACAGGTACAAGCTTAAGGTCTTTGACATGGATGTGTACAACGTACTCTGATTTGGTGTTTTCAAGGTATTCGTTATTATGGTTTTCAACGTTCTATATAATTGTCCTCGGAATGTACTGTTAAACCATGTTTCAACGTATTCTATATTATAGGAAGAGAATTTGTAGCATATGTTCAACAAAGGTTTAACATCGATATAAGCAGATTGAGTGACACAGAACTATTGATGGGATCTTCAGTAGAATTTGGAAATCTAACATTTGTGGGATTCATTAAAGAAAATGACCTTAGACTTGTTACGAAAACAACTCCAGCCCGAGAGGTCACATACTACAGAAATACAAAATACAAAGGCGTTGGGTATGCTCTATTGTCTAACGCTGATGTCTATATTGACGGAGGTAAGTATTCTGGTCTCTGTGAAATGGACTACTAACATGTTGATATTATTCATCTTTTTTATTTCTGTGACTTTGCAAGAGATCATATTCCAATTTTTATCATCCCATTTTAACCGACAGACATGTCTAATTAGGTTCAATAAAAAATTAAGTGGCGGAGAGAATCCATGCAGGGAACAATATTTATGTTCACGTATAAAGGACGATTCTCGGTTTGGAGAACAGTCTCCTGGGCTAATAATTTTTTTCATGAAAAATATAGAAATATTACCCAAATTAAAGTATGAATATTCAAAAGAGGACATTTAAATCTACAAGATGTAAAAATAACAAATTGGTCTGAAGCAGGGATAGCGCTCAATTAGACCGATTCAATAAAATACAAGTCTCGATTTGGGGAAAAAAGTTCATCAGTGTACTGCGCAAATATTTTTTTGCGACAAATCTAGAAAGATTACCCAAATTAAATTGTGACTATTCAAAAGAAAACATTCAAATCTATATTATGCAAAAAAATCAAATTTGTCCGAAGCAGGGATAATGCTCATTTATATTGATGAACTTCGTTCTCCAAACCGAGAATCGTCCTTTAAGATGTGTAGCTTAACCTATTTATTGACAGGAGAATGGACTGGAGTGATGCCGAAAGATTCAGCTATATATACAGACAACGCTATATTAGTTGGCAATGAATGCGACTTTAAAGAAGAAACACATTTGTTGAAAATCCGTCCACTCGATGTCCACCCGGCTAAGTTCTACAATGGTGAAAATACTGGTCAAGGAGTAAATACATTAGAGGCTGAAGTCTGGTCCAGCATATATGGTTATGGCCTACAATATTCTATTAATTTGCATGAAGCTTACGTTGATTATTTTGTTAACGTTTTTAATATTGTTGCTTGATTAGACATATACACGATGCACAGTGTTGCCATTCGAGAGTCAAATGTTTTATTTGTTATCGTATCATATTTTATCATTACTGACTATTGAAATGAATTGCATTCGTATGACATGAAAGTCTCTTGTGAGTTAAAATGCATCAACTGCAATAAAAATTTCTTGATTTATCTGTTTGTCCCACATCAAACTCTAAAAGCTGTAATGATATAGACTATTCAAATACATTCGATGAATAATTTGCCCCTGTCGATGCTAACTTGGCTAAAAAAAGATAGGAAATTTTGATAAATCATCAGTTGAACTTAGGAGTAAATTCTATGTTTTAATTACCAGTGACTTGATGATAGTCTGTGAGTAAGCTTCTTGATGTTCATATAATGCCATGAAGTTTATTACATATATTCATATTAATTAATCAAATACTCCTGGAGTCAGGATATAATTCCCGCATTATATGTTAATGACTTAAATACAGAGCATTCTGGGTTAAGTGTGAAAATGTAATAAAACAAAAATTCATTCAAGGATGTCAATTTTTCAAATTCTACATCCAAAACCAACACGTACACGTACATAACCTTGACTTCGTCAATACACATTAAGAAATCACCGTCATTTTACCATGTGGTTCGACATAACAGTCATGTACTAGTATATGATTTCCTGGAGAGATTGGACATTTGATACTATATTATGCGTAACAAATTTTTGTCAATAAATACTATTTGGCTACATACCGTTACGCAAGTACATTGACACGATTATACAGCCTGTCTGTGAATTATATTATCAAATTTATCAATCTCATTCTAAAGTGAGAATAAATATGTCGATATCAAAATATTTCAGGAAAATAAAAAAACATACTGACGTGAATCACAAATTCATGCATCCATGTATTTTGTAACTGCATTGGAAACAGTTTAACGGGGGGGGGGGGGGCTGGTGTACGTTTCAGTGTAAAGGGGTGGCTGGCGATGGTCTTATTTTTCAGTTCATCTATTGTTCGAAACAAAATGGTTTAAATAAAAGATGCAGCGTGTAATTTTGGAATAAGTTTAACATCGAAACAAGAAAAATATCTGTTAGTTATAAAACTAAAAAAGCATATATTAACGTGTTAGTATAAAGCCCATGGTAAGAAAATATCTCGATATAGTGAACATTTTTGTCAACATTGTCATTAACCAAGTGTTCGTGGCTATTTTGATATTTCAAGTTCATGTGTAATTGGTCTACGGCATACCACGTTACTGTGCGTACCGCGACACTGAAATTTCCCATTTAGATAATCGGCTTATGTCGGAGATACGTCACGATAATCATCACTGGCGCCATTTATTTTAAATTTGTCCGAGTGAATAAAGATGCAATTCATTATTGACAAGAGAGTCTTTATTCAATTCTTTTTCATTTTCTCATTGAAAAGCAATGAGAATCTGGTTGATTTAATACATTTTGACCTTTTAGATGTACCTTTGTATTGGATGAAAAGAAAAACGACCCCTAGTTTTACATTTTATGATCAAATACTGATAAAAAGTTTCAATAATGAGACAGCAAGGCGGATAAATCTGATATCGTATATGTATTAACAATGGGTTAGGAGCATCATAAAAAACGAATCAATTGATATTTTAGTTGAAATAAACATACGTGTTGCTGTGCTTGAAAATAGGCGAATGGCATAAATTAGCCCTATTTTAATGAATTTTGAAAACCTTTCGTCCTCCACTTTTCCACATGCAACAGAAAACACATACTTTTTGCGAACTAGATCAACTACTATTCTAGTATTTATTAATAAACTCAAATTTAAGAGCAAAATAATCATGAATGATTTATTAAAAGTTGATCTCGTATTTTTTGTTTAATGTACACCTGAAAAGTTAAAGGTAACACAAAATGAGCAAAAAGGTCGCTGTCAACATATTCTATTTTTCAAACTCTATGACGTAACAATATGGGACGCTTACTAAAATTTATCCTTTGAAATAACTTCCATATACCTTTATCAAGACGAAAAATAAGTATAATAGTCATATATTGTTTGAGTTATGAGCGTTTAAAGACGAAAAATACTTCAAAATGTAACGTGTCAACAGGGGATATTTACCAGATGTTTTGGTAAAAACTATTTTTAAAAAAAGAACGCGCAAATATTGTGAACGGAGTGTAGGCCTAGTTGATCTTAAAACTATGAAAATGTTTATAGTAACATTCTTAAAGAAGAAAGACACCCTGTTGTATACAAAAAGTAAAAAATTAAAAATGATAACAAAGCCAAAAGAATGTATTCACTTTTGGTGCAAGTTGTACCTTTCTTCCTACTGGACGTCGAACTGAAAATCTGAAGCCAAATGTTTTAATATTATAAATGAAAAATATTTAAAGATTATACATGCAACACAAATACAGATTTCGAGTCTTTACAATTAAAATCATATATCTCATAGTTAGAAACACATACCTTATAGTTGTATCATTATCCTCTATACAACTACATCTAACGATGCATACCAAAGCGACAAGAAGTCTTAGACAGGTTTTATCCATTTTCCGCTAACAACTGGTTTCGGGTAGCGAAATCACTTCTTATGTGTATTCTTATTATTCAAAAAGCGAAGGATGTTCCATATATTTTACTTGTAAATAGGGGAACGGTTATGAACATACGGGGTGACCCAAAACAGAACCCTCCGAAAATATAATAATTTTTTTAATACAATATGTAATCATCCTCATTTTTCATGTACAGAACTTACAATCTATGGATGACAATGTGACACCAAATTCCCTACAAAACATTCAATAGTCTTCTTGTTATGGTAAAAAATGTGCCCACTTTTGAAAGAAAAGAGCTTGTTATTTTGTTGGAGAGGAATTGTCCCAGCAACCTTTAAGCCATCTTTAGGTATTGCAGATTCTGCTGAGTGATATTTTGGAACTACATTCAATGCAATCACACACACCGCTTTCATAGCTTTTACTAAATCAATGATCGGGACACTGCACGGATAAAAGGAAAAATCAGACTCTGTCGAAATTAGTCCGTTATGTACAATTAACGTCTTCGATTCTCCGCTAGATTATCAGCCTTGTGCCAGGTTGTTCAATACGTCCACGAGAGTGCTCTCATTTCAAAGATTTTAGATATTTTCTCATGATATTTTCACATAATGTGTAAAAAACATTTTCGTATTGCTTCAAAAATATTAGCATCTCTAATTTAATTCGTCAAAAATGGTTACTATGGTAACTAGACTTTTGGGTAGGCGGCGCACTTTTTACGTCACATTATTCAATAGAAAAAACAACAGAATAGTAGGCAAATCTATGAGTGTATCATATGCATTTTCTCTTCTCCGCTTTCTATGTGCAGATGCTATGAATCAATATAATAGTCACAACTATTGTCAAATAAGGTGTTTGAAATATTCTCCCCCATGATTAATGCACAATCGCTGGTGTTCAACCCATAGTTGAAACTGGGCTCTGAAGCCATCAGGAAAAAACTTGTTTGATGGGCCATCTATCGCAGTAACCGGAAACATTCATTTAATTTATATGACCATAATAAAGTTACACTTCGCCTCAAAAGTTTGGCACGGAGTGGGAATGTCTAACTTTGGGAAGACCCCTAATCATCATGCCATTAAACAAAGAAATATTAATAATCTCGCACAATATTTCCTAACTTTAAAGCTGCTTCATCTCCGGTGAAATAAGCCAATTGTTTAATACTAATGAAACACATTTTCTCTCAAATCTATGCGCCTCCGTTTTGTTTTATTTTAAACAAAAAATTCTTGCCTGGGGCAATTTATTATTAAATAATTTTGAAACATTTTGAAAGGATTTATTGTATAAAGCATACATGCATGTATCATTTATAAACACAAGCATTTGATCGAATGGATATAGTATCTATTATCCATCACTTCGATTTCTTAATATTTTTGAGAATGAAATTGTCTAAAAATGTAAAAATGCAATTTTCTGAAATTGTCTGGATTTCTTTCATACATATTATCAATAGTATGTTAAATCAACCCTTTTATTAATAATCTTGTCATAGATGAACTGACTAATTATTAGGTAAATTCTAATGTTCCATGTATTGAACTCTGCATTTTCAAAAAATCATAAAAACTCCAAAATTGAGATAGTTATTCCCAAACTAAGGAGGTGACGTTTCTGGGGTCACCCTGTACATGAAATCCATTTTAAGCCCCTCCTACCTTAGAAATGAATGACTGTGAATCGCTCAACAATAAGAACTTTTGGAGATGCCCTGGTATCTAAATAGAAATATATATATTCACCTGAAAGACGAGAGGATTAGTCTTGCACAAGTTTCAAATCGTTTGTCTAAAAAAGGATTTGACAGCATTCTTTAATAAAGTAATAAGACTTTAATGATTCACAAATTCTTCAAAAATGTTTTCATATCTCAAAACAATTCTCGACATTATTAATAATAAAAACAGCTAAAGTTGATAGGGAATGGAACGTTTTCAAGGTTATCAAACAGAGAATCGGATCTAGCGAGCAGCACAACAAAATATTGTTTCAATTTTAGAATATTTCAGGCTTATGTCTTTTCTTTTCATGTCTATTTTCTGAAAATTATTATAACTTCACCAATTTATAACATATCGTGAATCTTTTGGGAGATATTGTATTTTAGATCATAAGGAATAGATTGGTTGGTCAATTGTTCATGTTACTTAGAAAGTCAGCCCCATAGATCTGATTCTGCCTTTAAGTACAGATTATTTTTTATTTTCGATTCAAAGAAAAAACAAATATTTGTTTTGAGCACTATGTATTCTTTGTTACAAGGATTTGGAATTTAAAAATGTTTAATTTTAGTGTCTTCGGAGCACAATGGGTATCCCGAGTACAAATTGAGAGTATTCGTGTAGCAATAACAACTATTTGTGCACAATGATTAAATAAATATT